GATAAATGGGATCCTCAGAGGAGAAATAGAAAAAAAGGCAAGGTTTTTAAAGCAGTCTTATTATGAATCAGGCTCAAAAGCAGCTAGACTCCTGGCCAGACGCCTGCGCAAACAGCAAGCCTCTAATACAATTCATAGAACAAGGGACCCCCAAACTAATCAACTATTGTATGAGCCAGATGAGATAGAAAGAATATTTGAAGAGTACTATAAGACACTCTACTCTAATCCACCATTAGCTGATGAAAGCACAATAAGAAACGTTCTTAACTCGCTTGATCTGCCATCTATAGGTGAGATACAGAGTGACACCATTAGGTCGCAATTTACAGTTGAAGAGCTGGAAGCTGCAATCAGTAGGCTAAAGACCACCGGGCAGCGATGGGTTTCCACCAGAGTTCACTAGGAGCTAACACCTCTGCTTCTGTCTTGTTTTAATTGGACTCTTAAAGAAGGCAGGGCTCCCCCATCTTGGAGGGAAGCAATTATTTCCATTTTGCCAAAGGAAGGCAAAGACAAAGACCACTATAAAAATGATAGGCCAATTTCTCTTTTAAATGTGGACTACAAGCTGTTTACCTCAATTATCTGTAAAAGATTTGAGACTTTTATGCCAGATCTTATTCATGAAGATCAAACTGGATTCATTAGAGGGCGCCAAACACAAGACAATATCAGAAGGACTCTCCATATTGTAGACCAGTGGTTCCCAAACGGTGTGCCGCGGCACACTGGTGTGCCGTGAGGCAAGTCCGGGTGTGCCGTGGGATTTTGTGACAACCATACGTTATTATTGCAATATACAACTACACAAAAATAATTATTTTTTAATTTACTATATCAGTACTTTGTATGCACTCATTTCATAATACAGAGGCAAACTCTATACCTAAAAACAATTCTTTAAAAAAAAATCCTCACAGAACCCCATATTTAGCTGTTAACGCAGTTGCAGGTGGGCATTATAAGACCGTGACACATCGAAGGCTGAAGGACAACATTAAAACAGAGAAACACGCAAGAGGGAAAATGGAGCGCTAGATCTTGTGCGGAGCAAACCACCAACCACCAGTGCAGAGACTGCCGACAACCCACCACCGAAAGAAAAGAGGAAAAAAACTGTCAGCAGACAGTATCATGAAAGTTACCTGTCTTATGGCACTGCAGGCGAGCGGCAGATTTTCCCTACAAATAGACGAACCTACTGACATAAGTGGGGCTGCCCAACTTCTGGCAAACGTCAGATATGTTGATGCTGACTAGGGATGCCAGAAACTGAAATTCAAATTTTCAAATTCGAAGATCGGACAGCCCTGGCGAATATTACTCGATTATTCGCCGCGGGAGAGAAAAAAAAGTCTTTTCGCAGAGGTTGCATTTTACTTCATTTGCACTAGTCACTTCGCTTCTTTGAACGTGCCGCTTTGTTCATCTTTAGTTGTGTTGTTCTCACTGTTCTGTATATCGCCAATTGCACGTGTGACGGAGAGAGAGGGGGGGGGGGGGGGGGGGGTCGGTGTGTAGCAGGCTGCAGCAGGCAGCAGCAGTCTGCACTCTTCCTCCAAGTTTACAGTAAAACAAACTGGTGGTGTGACCAATGGCCATTTACAATTATTAATACTATTACTATTAGCATTAGTCTATATTTTGGTTGAAACTAAGCCAGAAAAAAGAAAAGAAAAACATAAATAATAATAAAAATATATATAAATAAAATCGAATTTTAAAAATAATTTTCGATTATGGAGACTGTAACGAATATTCGAAAAATCGAATAATCGCTGGCATCCCTAATGCTGACTCTATCAAAGAGACGTTTTTCTTTTGCAAAGAAATGGAAAGCCATACTACGGGAGAAGAAATATTCAGGGTAACTAATAACTATTTAAAAGAGAACAGTCTGACCTGGAATATGTGCGTCAGTCTTTGCACAGATGGTGCGGCAAGCATGACGGGGAGAGTGAAAGGATTTATTGCTAAGGTGAGAGCACAAAACCCACATATCGTGACAAACCACTGCATTTTGCATAGAGAGGCATTAGTTGCCAAAACCATGCCCCCGGAGTTGACTGAGGTGCTGAATCAGGCTGTGCAGATGGTGAATTACATCAAATCAAGGCCCCTGAAATCTCGCCTCTTCTCCCAGCTGTGCGCCGAGATGGGAGCCGACCACCAAAGCCTGATCCTCCACAATTTTTTATTTTGTGACCTGACTGGTTTAAATGAGTGTGTTGCTGCTTTGATGAAGCCTAATTTGATAAAGTTTCAAATTAATTTCTGAAATATTTCGTTAATAAATATTTCATGAGTAATATAGTTGTCTTTGTCACATTTTATTTGGCATTAGTAAATAATTATGCACATTTACAGATATTTTACATGATATGAGTGATAACACGTGTTTTAGGGCTATTTTGCACAATAGGTGTGCCTTGAGATTTTTACTTGTCCTTTGGTGTGCCTTGGGCACAAAAAGTTTGGGAACCACTGTTGTAGACAATGCACATAAAAAGGGCACGAGTATGGTTCTGGTTAGTCTGGACGCAGAAAAAGCGTTTGACAGTGTCAGCTGGTCTTTTTCATATGAAGTACTAAGGAGGTTTGGTTTAAATGAAAATGCAATTCGGTGTATTAAGACTATTTATCATGAACCTACGGCTAGGATCAAAGTAAATGGGAGTCTGTCCAATAGGATTCAGCTGCAGGCTCTAGACAGGGTTGCTGTCTCTCTCCTACTCTCTTTGCTTTATTTGTTGAACCATTGGCGCAAGCAATAAGGCAGAGTGAAGATCTGCAGGGTGTCAATATAGGGGGGGAAGATCATATCATTGGGCTTTTTGCGGATGATGTTATAGTTTTTCTTGAGCAATCAGATGTATGTTTCCCAAACCTGATGAACCTACTCGACACATATGGTTACTATTCAGGGTATAAAGTGAACGTAACAAAAACTCTAATTCTCTCATTTCATTATTCCCCATCCCAACAAATTAGACATGCATATAACCTAAAATGGAATTCCAAAACAATGACCTATCTTGGTGTAACTATAACCAAAACATTTTCCAACCTGTTTGAAGCCAATTATAACAAAATTGATGACAATATTGGAAAGGATGTAGAAAGGTGGTCCACCCTCCCTTTAGACTTCAGTGCCAGAATACAAACGGTTCAAATGAATATCCTACCTAGGCTGCTGTATTTTTTTCAGTCTCTTACAATTGATGTTCCCCAAAACAAATGCATAACCTGGGACAGGATGATTTCTAGATTTGTTTGGAATAGTAAAAAACCAAGAATACGATTTACGACACTTCAGTTGCCTAAAAGTAAGGGGGGAATGGCTTTACCAAATCTTAGGGAATAGTTCTATGCAGCCCATGCTCAGACCTTTGGCCTACTGGTGTAGACTCGATTATGAGTCTGGATGGAAAGCCATGGAAAGGGAGGTGCAGGGTCACCACATTCAGGCCTTGGTGGGAGATAGGAATTTGGTGAGGGCTCTGAGAGGTGAAATGGATTCGATAGTTGCGTTTACACTAGAGGTCTGGAATGTTGTAGTAAAAAAATACAAATTAAAGAGAGGGATACACACGCTGAGGTGGTTTGCATACGATTCCAATTTTAAACTAGGGGTGTACGATCCAGCATTCAAAGAATGGGTGCAAAAGGGCATAACAGCAATGTGTACGGTTTCAGAAAAGGGTGAATTGATGGGTTTTCAGGACTTACAGGCAAAATATGGTATTACAGACAGGGATTATTTTAGATACATGCAGCTAAGACACTATTTTGTAAAAGAGATAAGGCTGAATGCAGATGAATCTTTAGATACTGTAACTGGGGTGATTGTGGATGCGTATCAGCAGAAGGGGTCTCGGATCATCTCTGCTTTCTACCAGGCTTTGGGGGGAAACAGGGGGGAATCAACTATCTACATAAAAGCTAAATGGGAAGCGGAGTTAAACATTTTAATTTCAGAGGAAGAATGGTTTCAAATGTTCGAGACGCAATTTACATCCACAAACTCATTAGTATGGAGGGAATTCTGCTGGAAGAACCTGACTCGCTTTTTCATAACACCCAAAATAAAGAGCAGGCAACTTGGTGTACAGCAACAGTGTGGGAACATGGAGGCGGACCACTCGCACATTTTCTGGAACTGTACAAAGATAAGGTCATATTGGGAGAAGGTTAATGCAGTTGTCAAAATTATTATGGGATATGGAATCCCAAATACCTGCCCGGTGATGTATCTTGGGATCATTAAGGATGTTGTGATGGGAGGCGATCTATATTTGACGAAGGTTTTACTTGCAGCGAGTAAGAAAGCTATAACTAGGAATTGGCTTCATGTGAACGCTCCGACTCAGGAGCAGTGGCTGGAAATTGTTCAAGATCTTATTGTCATGGAAAAGTAGACATATGTTTTGAGAATCCAAGAGAATGCATTCAATAGGGAATGGGAAAAGTGGAAAATGTACATGGTTGACACCAATGAGTAAGTGAATGACTAATTCATTCCTGTACGGTATGTGTGAATATTGAAGGTCTTCAGACAACTAGTATTTATTGTGCTTTATTTTATAACTGATTTGTGTGTATTATTTGTTGTTGTTTAGGTTCACATGTTGTTCTGTTATTATTGTTGTGAAAACTCAATAAAAACATAAATGTAAAAAAACTACTACTTTCTACTTTCTATGTGATTGTCTGCTAATTTAATGGAATCCAAGAGAGCAATACAGAAATCCTCAAAATGAAGCTTTAAAAAACCCTTTGATTTCTCTTACCAGATTGTCATGCATTTATTTATTACAACACACATGTATTTGTTTTATCCCCCCTCAGAATACAAGTAGGTACTCGTAGTTTAAACTTGTGATTAATCATGATTAAATATCAAATCGATTGACACTACTAATATGAACGTATATTCCACCATAGGGCAATCTATTTAACCCTTTGGTGGCCTTCTCCCAGAGTTTCAGTCTACTTACGAGACAAACTTGCCCACTTCCACCTGGATGATGGCGTTTTTAAGCTGGACCTCCAGCAGCAGGGCGTCAGCCGGACCTCCCTCGCTGGTCTTGTTGACGTTTGGGGAGAATATCCGCAGCATCCCCATGTAGCTGCCCACCACCACCTTGTCTATTAAGGTATAAACAAAAACGCGTGACAGATGTTACATGACGAGTTATTACGTCTAACAGCAGGCAGACTGTCATTGCTTTGCCTTCGTGAGGTGCTAGCACTGTCACTGCTAAGGTAAAACAAGATGTTTCTTTAACAACACAAAGTTGGAGAAGTGAAATGCCGACTAATTAGTGTCATTTACTCAACCTGAAGTAAATTGCATAAAAGAAGGCATTTGGTGGGAGGGAGTCAGCTCAGCTCAGTGTCAAAGTCTTCAGGACATCATTTAGTTATCAACACTTTAAATACCTTAGGTAAATGTTCTAATGTCAAAGTTTATAGTGTAAAAGGGCATAAAAGATTCTGATAGAAGTATATAATGGTCATTCCCATGCATGCTCTATTTAGTTGGTGCTAAATGTAAACTTAAACTTGGGGATTAGAAATCTTAACAAAAGAAATCACATAAAGATTGTACGGCAACCTTTCCACATGAACATTGAAGAGCATATCAGTGTCAGAATGCAAAGTGCACATGACTGAATACAAGCATGAAGCACTATTGAAACTAATAAAGTTAAAGCAAACCATCCCATATGTTCAATCTTGATTCCAGATAAGAAATTACTTGTATATATCAGAACGGAACATACTGTCACCTAGCTACCATGTTCTGGCTGTGGCTGGTTAGCTTGTTTTAACTCTAGAGGGAACTGGTTTTCTAATTCAAGTATGGTGTCAAAGTGGTTTGATTTTGGGATGGAGAAATGTGGGAGAAATGTAACACAAAGCAGAGCGGCAAATGAAAGTTAGCACACAGTAGATCTTTTGGACCTTTAAGATATATTTGTTATTTTCTTGCCAACATACATCATGATATACATTGTATATATGTGCACAACCATATAAACTACAATGAAAAGACACATTTAACTCTGTTTTTTATCCACATTAGTGTAGATCTGTGTGATAAGACATCTCAGGAAAGGACTGTGTGTTATTGCTGCATCTCTTCCTCTCCACACACTGACCGTGTCCGGTGCCACTGTTGTCCACGTCTCCGACACAGAGGCATCCCTGGTCGAACTCCTCCCCTTCGCCAAGCGCTGCTGACCACCAATCACGGGCCTTGAACAGAGACATGCTGCCTCTGATTGGACGGAGAGAGTAAGCGAAGAAGACAGGAGGGAAATGGTTAGACGTGACATGCAAAAATCTGTCTGTTTCTCTTTGGTGTAAATGTACAAATCAAATATATCACTTCTGATTCAAAATGTGTTGCATATATTATATTTAAAGACAAGCTATAAGCTGATAGAAGAGGGAAATATACATACAGTACTAGTCAAAAGTTTGGATTTTTTAACACTTTTTAGTTTACTAGATAATTCCATATGTGTTCTTTTATAGTTTTGATGTCTTCAGTATTAATCTACAATGTAGAAAATAATTAAAATAAATAAAAACCTTTGAATGAGAAAGTGTGTCCAAACTTTTGACTGGTACTGTAAATAGATGTATTACTTAAAGCACATTTTATCTCCACTTCACTGAGTAAAGTAGTTGGTCGATTAGGTGCCTTGCTCTAGGGCAGGGGTGTCAATACTGCGGCCCGTTGTCCATTTTGAATCGGCCCGCAGCAAATTCCAAAAGTATAATTACACCTGAAACATGTGCTTGTCTTATATTGCACTTCTTAAATACATATGTACAAATATATAACACAGTAGTCACGTGTTAATAAGCCCAATTTTCTAATAATTTTAGTCAATTCTTGAAAACATTTTCTAACAAATGTTAGGGCTATGTTGCGAAAGCCTTTGGCAGATTTACAATTCATTGAGCTGATGCTTTCATCCAAAGCCACTTACAATAAGTATCAACCATGAAGACACAAACTCAGAACAGCAACAAATCTGCAGGTAAAATAGCTTCAAATAACACAAACCATTGTAAGTACTGGTGTATTGGTTTTTAAAGAGATACATCATTTAGGTGGAATAAGTTTACTTTTTTGTGTGTGTTTCTTTAAAGTTTGATGGTGAAGGTGCAGTGAAAACTGATGGGTTTCAGTCTGCGACAGAAGATCTCATTTCTTCTGCTTTAACAGAATCAAACCCTCTGTTCACTACAAGAACACTGGATAATCAATCTGCAGCCAATAGCAGCGCAGAAGAGCAGATCACATGACCTGAGTATGAGAGTAGAGAGGGAAATAAGAAGGGAGGTGGGGGCAAGCAGCTTTTCTACTTGCTAAGTGCTGAGCAGGTGGAACGGGCAGCTAATCCACAGAGGCCATCCTTCCTAGCTACACTGCCACATAGAAATGAGTTCAAGGAATATTACACCATCTTCTAAACAGATGAATGTCTAAAATGCTTTGAGAGAGGCAGGTTCAAAGATTCTCTATTTATGCTTTTATTATCAAACCAGGAAATGAAAGAGTCGCAAAATGAAAAGATATTTCTCTAATGAAAGCTGGGAGAGAAGCAGGAAGCTATCGGTGCAAATCCCTGTGCGGCACTCCTCGCTTATTATTATAGCAGTTTTATTTCTGACAGGCTGATGGATGGTGTGGTTTAGCTTTGTGATTTGTTCACTTCCCTTGACACAACATGTTGCACGTCCTGTTGCAGCAACTTGCCCTAAACAGTTATTTCAAATCAATGAGATGTAAAACGTGCCTTTTGTGAGGGAAACTTCTGTGTAGCAATGCAGTGGGAGTCACCGACTCAGGAAGGAGACACGGGATAGAGCTGGAGCTTTGATGTCAAACACTGATGGGTTTATTCAGAGTATCGGCCGGAGGATTCACATCACAAGTCAAAGAGTCAGAGGGTCTGACTTCACGGGAGAGTTGCCACGTCAATTCTGAAGAGCCTCTCTCTATGCTAGACCTTTTAACTGGTTCACAGAGAGTAATCAACATCTCTGAAGGAGTAGACTAAACAGCTGGGAACACTGAACCACTTGCGTCCGACACTTATGGCCTCAAAGATTTCACATCTTAGAGTCCACAAACACCGATAAAGAAGTGCCTCAGCGTTCTCACAACAATTACCATTCGTGCCAGACAAGTTGACCGGTCACAAACTGGTAACAACAACACATATGGCACCAATGCCTTTCCTTAAAGGAGATAACAGACGTCAGAGTAGATCATAAAACGTCACAGAGCAAAAGGTTCGATATCTAGAAGAATTATTCCTTAACAGTTAATAATGCTTTCTATCTTTCTGTTTGCTTTCTGCAAGCATAAAGCTGGTAGAAAACGTCAATAAACTCCACGTTAGTCCATGTTGTTTCTGTCAGGGAGGGCACCCTGTTCAGTCCTCTATGACGGAAGGCATCCTGACGTCTCTGAAGGCTCAGGGAAAGTGACCAACACTGTTTACGGCTGTACAATTATTATCATAATTGCTATAAGACCTTCCTGTAATATACCCAAATATAACACCAGAAACATCTGAAAAAAAGAACATTTGAAGTGGTCCAAATGGAAGTTGAAACTGTAAGAATCAGAATACGTTATTATCCCAGGGTGAAAAGAGTTGCTAAGTAAGGAGTATTTAAACTCAAATGAATTAATGGTTCAAGCTTTGTCTTCTCCTATTTATCTTTAGAACACATACATATGTTTACAGTCCACAGTCCATTTCAGAATAATATATATGATATGTTTTATAATGATTGATCATTAAAGTGTTCTCAAAGCTGGTAAAGGTGCAGCTAGTTTGAATGACTTTGTATACTGCAGGGTAGCTTGTGAATTTACTCCAGGTGGAACTAAAGTCTGATTTAACACTTGATTAGATTTCACATCATTCATCCAAATCTGTGAAGTAACTAAAGGAATTAAATACATGTAGTGGAGTAAAATTACACCATTTACCTCTGAATTGAAGTGGAGTAGAAGTACAAAGTAGTATGAAATTAAAATACTCAAGTAAAGTACAAGTACCTCAAAATTGTACTTAAGTACAGTACTTGGGTAAATGTAGTTAGTTACTTTACACAACTGCGAATAGAGCAACTGAATCACAAGAGGATAACTAACAGTCCCATCTTATAGAAAACAGAAAGCAGCCGACAACTACACTATAGCTATTGTACATACATACGACAATAAAGCCTCTGTATCTTTGAAGACCAAGCACCTGTGGGTTCATTGTTCTATAACTAAGAACACTCTTGTTATTGCAAATATGTCCAATATGACCAAGCATACAAAAACTTAAAGTAATCACACATGCCTTCAGAAGCTGTATACAGACGGTTACAAATATTATCTTGCAGCTAACGTCAAGCCGGCAGAATTAACTTTAGCTTAGCTAATTAGCTAGCTCTCCAAGTTACCTGGATACTGAGCAGATATAAGAACAGCCTTATATATATATAAATATATAAATCCCCGCAGCTGGTGACTAAACACACTCAGGTTTGTTCCCGAGGTTCTCTTACCTTCATGTACACACGCCGGTCAGTAAAAGCCGATGTGTTGTTCCTCCTCACACAAAAATCACATTTCTCACCCTCTATCTTGCAGCCATCGTACTGTTGTCATGACACTGACGCTCAACGGACAAGCAGGGCGTTTGTGCGCAGGACCGGAAATGAGAACCAAAAGGACAGCCGGGAAAATGGACTGATTCAGAATTTCTTTATTCGTCCCACAAAGGGGAACTTTACGTTGTTACAGAAAAGAGACGAAGAAAATAAAACGATATTATTTAAAAAGGCATGCACATAGTATTTCAAATAAAAAAATACAATTGAATTGTGTGACACTGACGCTGAACGGAGGAGCAGGGCGTTTGTGCGCAGGACCGGAAATGAGAACCGAAAGGACAGCTGGGAAAATGAGTTTTATATTCAGGATTCAAGATTCAAGGCTTTATTGTCATGTGCACAGTAGCTACAGTGTAGATATGGCAATTACAAACTTCAGTCCCCCAACGATGCAACATTAATATATAGGACATAAAACAAATAAAACCAATAAAAATAGTGAAAGAAATAACAGATTACAAATAAAATAGTGCAAGAGAATGTTGCAATATGTCTGTGCAAGTAAATATAAATTAATACAAATAAAAATAGTGCAAGAAGTCGTCTACATACTGGTAAATAGAGTATGATATGCACAATAGATAACTATTTAAATAACTAAATTGCAAGGGGCAAAAAGATGAATGCTTATTATATATTATACCCTCTCATTTTTTTTAATTGTTACCATCTCAAAATACAATCATACATATTTGATATCCTCTGTTTTATCCCGGAAATGTACATGAATACAACAATAACTAAAATACAAATATTTAAAAACAAACTTTTACATCGATCTTTAAAGATTTGAGCCATACATACACTAAATGTTGCTTAATAAAAAAGGATAATAACAAATATCATCACCAAGGGGGTCCTCCAGCCTCTGGAACTGTCCCATATAATATCTCAAAATCTCTATCCACTTGTCTTCCCTGTATTGAGGCTGTAATTAGTTAACAATGTGTATTTGTATTTGTATCCTCTGTTGTAACTGTAAATGGTACTATATACATACAATCTTTCTTCACGACAAACATATGATGATCGAATAGCATATGATGATTTTATGTAGATTAAAGTAGCCAAAAGTAAATCAAGGAATTTAAAATAAAACATCTTGGCAGTAAAATGCAACATACACATTAAATACAGCAGAAATATGAATCCAAAAACTGACATAGAAGTACAACACTGGGGGACATTTTACTGCACTATTAACCATTTTACTGATAACACTAACAATATTTTTACTTTAAATGCAGGACTTGTATTTGTATTGGGTTATTGTCATACACTGTATGTTTTTTGCTTTAGTTCAATAACTTTATGGTGCTTGTTTTTAGCTATATGTCTATTTCTATCTTCCTGTAATATGTTCTACTTTGTAACTTGATCCAAGGGAGCTGCAAACAGGGAGGGACTTCGAACGTGAAAGTAACAAGTCAGACTGCCAGACTCCGTTTTACACGTCGACAGAGCACGACAAATAAAACAGGGTGAGTGTTAAATCCAGGCTCTGCTGGGTTTTTCTAAACTTAATTAATGTTTACTCTGTTTTACTTTATCTAAGAAGAATACAGTCTCCATTAAAAGCTATGTCTTAGAGTCCGATGTGGCATAATATGCCACATCGGACTCTAAGACATAGCTTTTTATAGGCCTAAACTTCCCCTTTCACTTCCTTGTTTCTGCGCCATTATGGTTACATAACTATACAGACGTATTTGTTGTTGTTTCCACTAGTGGTGTAACAAAAAAGTAATCCCCTAAATCACGATTATATAATGTGATTAATCTTTATAAATCAGAAGTTTAAAATATTATTAGGCCTATTTACTTATATTTTGGAGAGATATAAAACAAATAAAACGTATTGTTATCAAATCCCAACTTAACCCCTGGTAACAACTATATATATATATATATATATATATATATTTAATAGGGAACAATGTAATGCACAGTCAACACTAGAGCACTTACATATCACACAGACACACACTTTAACTTATGTACGGTTTTGAATGCATGGTGTTTCCTGGACGAAGGTACGTTTTAACCGTTTGTTTTTTAGTTTTAATTGAAACAAAAAAAACAACAGAAACGGGTCGTTTTTTTGTTTTTCAATTTTGCCCCAAAACGGAAAAAACGGCAATTCAGCTCGTTTTTTCGTTTTTCTGTTCTTACTGTTAAAACAAGTATACCACTCAATGTTTCGTTTCCATAGGTGGGTGTGTCTCCAGTGCCTCCTTGCTTCTGATTGGCTAGTTTGCCCTATGCTTGCGCTGTACTCTTCAAAATAAAGGTTCTAACTCTTTGCCTTTACACAGTGCAAAAATGACAAGCTTCTGCTATCTTTGATCTTTATGTGGGTTCATTGATCATTGTACTATGTGGATGCCTTATTGTTTTGTCAAGCACTTTGTGACTTTGTCTGTGAAAAGCGCTTTATAAATAAAATTCGAAGACTGATCATTTTGGACTCAGTAGTTAGACTACTAGCGCAAAGACTATAAAATACTTTTATTTTGTACTTTCAGAGAAATCCTCTGTCAAATTGTCCACCCTGAATACCCCATGCAGATGCTCCTGTCTGTCAAACACAAGCAGAAACATTACTTTCCAAAAATGGAAAGTTATCTTGGTCCCGCTCCCCACGTGAAAAACAGGGTAAGTTTAGTGCTGCTAATGTAATGAAAATGGCTAGTAGTGTTTTATTTAAATGAATATTTAGATAGTCAACTAAGAAACATAAAGTACTTGAAACGTACATTTTGGTAACAATTTTGAATATGATCATTTTCTTGAGCTTTAAACTCCTGGGGTCAAAATGACCACCAAGGATAGAGGGTGTAAAGCAGTTTTTTGTTTTACAATATCCTAAAGTCTATTTTTAACACACTATTGAGTTGGCTTTTTCATTACATTTAAAATATAAATTGTACCTAAAATAATACGGAGTGAGCAGGGTATACATATTCACACCATATGCAATCATAGGATATTTTTAGTTCGAAAGATATTTGTCCAAATTGACTACAAATTAGTACAAATACAAAACATAAAAAAAAAAAGCCTTACGGGTCCCTTTTAAAATATATATATATATTTTGTATAATGTTCTGGGCTGAGAGTGCCTTATTTTCAATTTGAAAACAAATGGCAATTTTATTAATACAGCAGATGAAAAGATTTGCAATTCTTCATGGGTGTCATTGGCTCTAGATAAAGGCAGTATCTGTTTGCTAACCTCAGATATTGATTTATTTAAATAAGTGACCTTTGAATACATATTGCAAACATAGCCTTAAAAAGGTCCAGGAAAAAGACTTCAAATATTACTTAAAGACTGGACTTTTTAATTCAGTCAAGAGAAGAGAAAAGAGAAGAAAGGAAAGAAAATCGTTATAAGGGGTTATTAATGACAGACATAATATGGCTAGGGAGGCTGTGGCTGATCGTGCGTTGATCTTCGGATCAGGGGGGACTGGTTCAATCTCCACTGCAGTCAGCATGTCATTGTGTCCCTGGGCTTCACCCCAAATAGCTCCTGTGAGGATTGTCCACAGTATTGAGTGTATGTAAGTCGCTTTAAGGTAAAAGCAACTAACAAGTGACATGTAGAGGTCAGTGGCACTCAGACTCTACAGGGGTCATTTTTTGATCATGGGGCATCACCCTTGTACAGCATCAGGACAATATCTCTATGGAGTCAGACACTGAAAGTGTGCTGGAGGCTGATGCGTTGACTGGGACTGATGGAAAGATGAGGCTGATGAGACTGAAGAATATGCGAGGAACGAACTAGGGGCAGAGAAATAATCATATTTTAACCCTTTAATTGCCAGACCAAGAAGAAATCTATGGACAAATTATTTCTTTGCATTTTTTTATCAAATAGGACACAAATAACCACAAACCATTTTTTTTTTTTTTTACTGACCACACAGTTTTGTTTTTATGAGCCTCTACCAACTGGTCGAGCTGGCCTTGGTAAAAGTGCTTTTTCAACAATCATCATATAGTACAGTATTTGTATGCATCAAACTCAAATAAAACACAAACACATTTTTTTCTTTTATGGAAGATGAGCAATATATACAACCAGATATATTCATAAAAAATAATAAATTATAATTGTAAAACAAAAAAGAAATGGAAAAAAGTAATGGAAAGTGTTTTTCATTATAAAAAGTTTGGCCTAACAACAAACAACTGGCCTAACAGCAAATGTCTATATCCTGTGTTGGCCTAACTTGCTCATGTGTGTGCAACTTTGGGCTGCATTTGATGCATGAAAGGTGCTATCTAAATTATTATCGCTCTTTCACTCTGAGACTCATAAGGCAGTACTAGATTTAGTAATATTACCATGAATCTAGCTATTTACCGTATTTTATTGGAAAACATCTCTGAAACTCTGAAAAAGTCGTATTGCTAGTTTACAATATGAAGGCCAATTCGACCGGTTGGTTGAGCATATTTTCAAAACAAATAATTACACCCTTGTTACAAAAATGTTTTGTGCATCAAGTTATATAATAATGTTCAGTCAGTGCTCTGACACTAAAATATGTCAAAAATGATATGGTTACCTTACACAAGTTGACCAAAAAGAGTGATTTCTTCAGGAGTGATTTTTAGCATGCCAACTTTCTCAGTGGAAGCTAGCTGAAGGGCATTCTGTTCGAACCACAGTGACATCTAGAGGTTGTTTTGTGCATAACATGTCAACTAAACGATAGAGCTGGCTGAATCAGATGGAGTTACACTTTTTTATTTATTTTTCAACAAGATATCAAAACACAAAATGTGCTCTACCAAATGGTGGCGCTGGCTGTTAAAGGTTAAGACAGCATCATCATAAGAGGCCAACAAGAGTGACAGGGTGTGTCACTTTGCTGAAGGATAGACCAGCTATGCAGGATAGTCTCTGAAGATTTCCCAAGGGGTAACAGCTGCTGCTGGAGTACTGACTGGAAGTAGTGCTGGTATCATGTCTACCATATCCTCTTAAAATACTCTGTCCAACAATATAAGTCTAATGACACATTTTTATTTAAGATGCATTCTTGTACTAAGGAGGGGAATTTGAAAAAGAATACCTGAAAAAGTACTTGTTGGTGTAATTAAATTAGTATACTGAGTCAAACAGTATCACTCTCATTAAGAATTTATGGCAGAACATCATTTTATCTCTCATCAAAGATAGCAGAAAATATGCATTATTGTACTCAAGAGGGGAGTTTGACAGAGTACACAGTTAAAGTACTCTAAATAGTATTTATCAATCCTCAACCTCCAAGCTATTTTAATATAGATTTGAAGAAAAAAACCTCGATGCTGACTTGACCACGCAAACGGGAAATACGGCCGCATCAATTCAGCAGTGTCAGTAACATCAAACAGAGAGATACTCATACTTTATAAGATAGGGATTCATGGCTGACAGTGCAAGACAGACAGCCAGATAGACAGATCGCGAGACAGACCAACAGACCGACAGACGCGCACACACATACGCACCCACACACGGACAGACTGTCTTCTGTATGTTTTGCATGTAGCCATATATTCAATGTATATTCGTGCAAACACGCACTGCACTGTCTGTAAGAAACAGAAAAACGAAAAAACGAGCTGAATTTCCGTTTTTTCGTTTTGGGGCAAAATTGAAAAACAAAAAAACGACCCGTTTCTGCTTTTTTTTTGTGTTTCAATTTGAACTAAAAAGCAAACGGTTAAAACGTACCTTGGTCTTCCTGGGTCAGTTTCACACTGTGGTATTATTATTTGTATTTCAACAACTTTGTTTTTAGCTGACCAAGGTACGTTTTAACCGTTTGTTTTTTAGTTCTAATTTAAACTAAAAAAAAAGCAGAAACGGGTCGTTTTTTTGTTTTTCAATTTTGCCCCAAAACGAAAAAACGGAAATTCAGCTCGTTTTTTCGTTTTTCTGTTTCTTACTGTTAAAACAAGTATACCACTCAATGTTTCGTTTCCATAGGTGGTTGGGACGCCAGTGCCTCCTTGCTTCTGATTGGCTAGTTTGCCCTATGCTTGCGCTGTACTCTTCAAAATAAAGGTTCATACTCTTTGCAGTGCGTGTTTGCACGAATTTACATTGAATATATGGCTACATGCAAAACATACCCGTGTGTGGGTGCGTATGTGTGTGCGCGTCTGTCGGTCTGTTGGTCTGTCTGTCTGTCTGTCTCGCGATCTGTCTATCTGGCTGTCTGTCTTGCACTGTCAGCCATGAATCCCTATCTTATAAAGTATGAGTATCTCTCTGTTTGATGTTACTGACACTGCTGAATTGATGCGGCCGTATTTCCCGTTTGCGTGGTCAAGTCAGCATCGAGGTTTTTTTTTTCAAATCTATATTAAAATAGCTTGGAGGGTGAGGATTGATAAATACTATTCAGAGTACTTTAACTGTGTACTCTGTCAAACTCCCCTCTTGAGTACAATAATGCATGTTTTCTGCTATCTTTGATGAGAGATAAAATGATGTTCTGCCATAAATTCTTAATGAGAGTGATACTGTTTGACTCAGTAGGCTATACTAATTTAACTACATCAAGTACTTTTTCAGGTATTCTTTTTCAAATTCCCCTCCTTAGTACAAGAATGCATCTTAAATAAAAATGTGTCATTAGACTTATATTGTTGGACAGAGTATTTTAAGAGGATATGGTAGACATGATACCAGCACTACTTCCAGTCAGTACTCCAGCAGCAGCTGTTACCCCTTGGGAAATCTTCAGAGACTATCCTGCATAGCTGGTCTATCCTTCAGCAAAGTGACACACCCTGTCACTCTTGTTGGCCTCTTATGATGATGCTGTCTTAACCTTTAACAGCCAGCGCCACCATTTGGTAGAGCACATTTTGTGTTTTGATATATTGTTGAAAAATAAATAAAAAAGTGTAACTCCATCTGATTCAGCCAGCTCTATCGTTTAGTTGACATGTTATGCACAAAACAACCTCTAGATGTCACTGTGGTTCGAACAGAATGCCCTTCAGCTAGCTTCCACTGAGAAAGTTGGCATGCTAAAAATCACTCCTGAAGAAATCACTCTTTTTGGTCAACTTGTGTAAGGTAACCATATCATTTTTGACATATTTTAGTGTCAGAGCACTGACTGAACATTATTATATAACTTGATGCACAAAACATTTTTGTAACAAGGGTGTAATTACTTTTTGGAAAACATGCTCAACCAACCGGTCGAATTGGCCTTCATATTGTAAACTAGCAATACGACTTTTTCCAATAAAATATGGTAAATAGCTAGATTCATGGTAATATTACTAAATCTAGTACTGCCTTATGAGTCTCAGAGTGAAAGAGTGATAATAATTTAGATAGCACCTTTCATGCCATACTGTACAGCCCAAAGTTGCACACAGATGAGCAAGTTAGGCCAACACAGGATATAGACATTTGCTGTTAGGCCAGTTGTTTGTTGTTAGGCCAATTCAGCATATACAGTAAGATGAGCACGTTTTTTTTTATTATGAAAAACACCAAACATAACTTTTTTCCATTTCTTTTTTTTCTACAATTATAATTTATTATTTTATAGGAATATATCTGGTTGTATATATTGCTCATCTCCCATAAAAGAAAAAAATGTATTTGAGTTTGTGTTTTATTTGAGTTTGATGCATACAAAATACTGTAGCCTACTGTATGATGATTGTTGAAAATGCACTTTTACCAAGTCCAGCACGACCAGTTGGTAGAGGCTCATAAAAACAAAACTGTGTGGTCAGTCAAAAAAAATAAAAATGGTTTGTGGTTATTTGTGTCCTATTTGATAACAAAATAATTTGTCCATAGATTTCTTCTTGGTCTGGCAATTAAAGGGTTAAAATATGATTTATTTCTCTGCCCCTAGTTCGTTCCTCGCAGATTCTTCAGTCTCATCAGCCTCATCTTTCCATCAGTCCCAGTCAACGCATCAGCCTCCAGCACACTTTCAGTGTCTGACTCCATAGAGATATTGTCCTGATGCTGTACAAGGGTGATGCCCCATGATCAAAAAATGACCCCTGTAGAGTCTGAGTGCCACTGACCTCTACATGTCACTTGTTAGTTGCTTTTACCTTAAAGCGACTTACATACACTCAATACTGTGGACAATCCTCACAGGAGCTATTTGGGGTGAAGCCCAGGGACACAACGACATGCTGACTGCAGTGGAGATTGAACCAGTGCCCCCCTGATCCAAAGATCAACGCACGATCAGCCACAGCCTCCCTAGCCATATTATGTCTCTCATTAATAACCCCTTATAACGATTTTCTTTCCTTTCTTCTCTTTTCTCTTCTCTGGAAAGTAATGTTTCTGCTTGTGTTTGACAGACAGGAGCATCTGCATGGGGTATTCAGGGTGGACAATTTGACAGAGGATTTCTCTGAAAGTACAAAATAAAAGTATTTTATAGTCTTTGAGCTAGTAGTCTAACTACTGAGTCCAAAATGATCAGTCTTCGAACTTAAAAGTATTTGTATTGCTCGTCACATATAGCAGCAAGACAGGCATTGTTGTACCATGGAGGGGACTTTGACAGGAGAGTATCAAGAACTACACAGTAAAAGTATTTCATAGTATTTGGGATAGTTGTAACTACAACTGATTCCAACTTCATCAGTCTTATGAAAAACGTATGGCCAAAAATAATGTTATCACTCATCTAAGTAAGTAAGTAAGTAAAGTTTATTTATAAAGCGCTTTTCACAGACAAAGTCACAAAGTGCTTGACAAAACAATAAGGCATCCACATAGTACAATGATCAATGAACCCACATAAAGATCAAAGATAGCAGAAGCTTGTCATTTTTGCACTGTGTAAAGGCAAAGAGTTAGAACCTTTATTTTGAAGAGTACAGCGCAAGCATAGGGCAAACTAGCCAATCAGAAGCAAGGAGGCACTGGAGACACACCCACCTATGGAAACGAAACATTGAGTGGTATACTTGTTTTAACAGTAAGAACAGAAAAACGAAAAAACGAGCTGTTTTTCCGTTTTGGGGCAAAATTGAAAAACAAAAAAACGACCCGTTTCTGTTTTATTTGTTGTTTCAATTAGAACTAAAAAACAAACGGTTAAAACGTACCTTCGTCTTAGCTGTAGGCCTATGTCTATTTCTATTTTACTGAAAATAATCCCTGTATGTGTTCCTGTTCAGCTGATAAGACTGGTTATGAAAACGAGGGCAGGAGCTGCAGAGAGATGAGGACGTTAAAGTGAAAGTAGGAAGTCAGACTGCCAGACTCCATTGTACACCTCGACAGAGCGGGAGGAAGGAAACAGGGTGAGTGTATTAACTATTCACTCTGTTATACTGGACGTCAGAACATTACTTCTTGATTACAAATCTGTGTGTGTGTGTGTGTGTGGTGTGTGTGTGGTGTGTGTGTGTGTGTGTGTGTGTGTGTGTGTGTGTGTGTGTGTGTGGTGTGTGTGTGTGTGTGTGTGTGGTGTGTGTGTGTGTGTGTGTGTGTGTGTGTGTGTGTGTGTGTGTGTGTGTGTGTGTGTGTGTGTGGTGATGTGTGTGTGTGGTGATGTGTGTGTGTGTGTGTGTGTGTGTGTGTGTGTGTGTGTGGTGTGTGTGTGTGTGTGTGTGTGTGTGTGTGTGTGTGTGTGTGTGTGTGTGTGTGTGTGTGTGTGTGTGTGTGTGTGGTGTGTGTGTGTGTGTGTGTGTGTGTGTGTGTGTGTGTGTGTGTGTGTGTCCCCCCAGTGTTAATGGTGTATCTCTCAGACTGGAGAAGATGAGTGATTTGAAAGAGGAGGAAGAGGACAAATCTCCATTCCCCAGCTGGGTTTCTCTGAAGAGTGACCGGTCTATGGATAAACCTCCACTCTTCAGTAATGAACCTGGACCCTCAGACACACAGTAAGAGTCTGTTTATACTGTAAACTGACCTGAAGAGGATTCAGTTTTTATGTTATCTGATAATCTAAACCTTAAATGATCGCAGTTAAGAAATGTAGTAGAGTACAGTTGCAACGTTTAATTGAACTCTCGCTGTGCTCCTTGGCATCATCAGAGATAGTAAATGATATACAACAGTGAAATCATTCTAACACTCGACATGTTGGACTTTGTGTTGAGTTCATCAAATGAAACACAAACATGTACAACATTTATCTGATAATCTAAACCTTAAATGATCGCAGTAAAGATATTTAGTAGAGTCCAGTAACAAAGTCCAAACATGAACCTATATACTTCAGTAATAAACCTGGACCCTCAGACACAAAGTAAGAGTCTGTTTCTACTGTAACCTGACCTGAAGAGGATTCTGATTTGATCTGAGTAGCAGATCAAATCATAGAAACACAGTAAAGCATCACTGTGGAGTACAGTAATGAAACAAAGTAAATTAGAGTAAAGAAACCCAGAAGAGGAAAGTAGAGAGGTGTAACTGAGCTCTGGCTGTGCTCCTTGGCATCATCAGCCACAGTAAACAATCTACTATTGTGAAATCATTCTCACATTCGAGATGTGGGACTTTGTGTTAGGTTAAGTAAATACATTTCGAACATGTAAAACTTTCCCCTCTCACAAAGGATTTCTAACAACCAAAACCCTCAAACACTACAGAAAGACAGAAAGTTCAGAGCAAGTCCAAAAATCTTTAATAAGGTAAACCGGCTGAAATCAAAAGCTGCCCTTTACAAAAACTAATGATGTGTTTAAAAAATGTGTTGTTTCCACAGACAGAGAGCAGAGTCTCCAGACCCCAGCTGTCTGTCTCTGAAGAGTGACTTTTCTAAAGAAGAACCTCCAGCCTTCAGTATTGAACCTGGACCCTCAGACACACAGTAAGAGTCTGTTTCTACTGTGATCTGACCTGAAGAGGATTCATTTTATATGCCAACGGATCATCTACACTGTTCTTTAATATTTACATGAGCGCAGTAGATAACAGCACAGAAACACAGTAGAATACAGTAAACATCTACAGCAGAGTTCAGTAATGAAACACTGTAAAGTGCAATAAAGTAACGCAGTAGGTAACTGTCTTGTTCTTGTACTATATGTACAATTAATACTCCAGACGGCAACGTGCCAATACTCAGTATTTATTCATACGCAAGGGACATACAGGCTTACGCTTGTGTTTGCTGTCAACACAGGACACACACACACACACACACACACACACACACACACAGCGATATAGAGAAGGTTAAGCTGTCATTATTAGGCTGTAATTTGTTATACTGTTGGAGTGGTAAGCAGGCCTATTGTTTTTGGATATTTGTGGAGTTAGGTGTGTTTTTTAATTGGTTAAGTGGTCCCTGATATGAAAAAGGTTTGAGAAACACTGCTCTAGGGCACCACTACAGGGGGTTATTTAGACGCTGGCAAGCATTACTTTCTCTCTTCTGCTCGCATATTGTTTCTGATCATTTTAAATGTATCATTTTTATTATGACAAAAATAAACTATATTGTGATAATGGCATATTGTATATATATTAAAAAGAAGAAGGCGAAATATTCATACTAGTCGATGTAATGACGCCATACCATTACACATAGCAACAACAATGTCTGAGTGAAACTGCCACCAGCTCCATGGTGGAAGATTTACTCCCAAAAAAAGATGTGTGACTTCAGTATTGTTGAACATTGGCTAGCCACTGAGGCTACAGCCCAGAATGTTATATTTTTAAAGACTTTTTGCACTTTTAGCAACTTGTAATTTCAGTATGTTGCAGCAATATTTTCCAGTATTTTGTTATATCATAATCGCAAAAACAGAATGAACATGCTAATACTATTTTAGGGCTATATTGTGTAAACCTTTGGCAGATTTAAATTACATTTCATTGAGCTGATGCTTTCATCCAAAGTGACTTACAATAAGTATCAACCATGAAGATACAAACTCAGAACAGCAAGAAATCTGCATGTAAAATAGCTTCAAATAACACACATCATTGTAAGTACTGGTGCATTGGTTTTAAAGAGCAAAGCGTTTAGTTTTGTGTGTGTGTGTGTGTGTGTGTGTGTGTGTGTGTGTGTGTGTGTGTTTCTTTAAAGTTTGATGGTCAAGGTGCAGTGAAAACTGATGGGTTTCAGTCTGCGACAGAAGATCTCATTTCTTCTGCTTGAACAGAATCAAACCCTCTGGCTGCGTTTCACTTCGGTTAAATGGATTCCTTGCGTCCCTCACTTGCGTCGTTTCCCTGCGACCAGTCCCTCCCACCAGGGAAGCATGGAGAGACGCAAGGAAACCACGAGAAGCAGGGAAATGAGTTTTAAGAGCAATGGGACGTCCTTTCCTCCGGAGCGTCACGTGAAGCGACGTCCGTTTGTGATGACTCCGCACAGCTGTTCGTCTGACAGCAGCTCTGTCCCCGTTATTTTCACAAACACCCCCGCCTCTGTTAGTACATATTTACTGACACAAACATTTGTATAATCTGTTGTAGACCCAAATAAATAAAATCAAATAAGAACTAATTCTCAAAAAAGATAAACGCCATTCTTAAAATGTATAAACAAATATTAGTTTGATTAATATTGATTAGAGTGCACAATATAAATAAAATAATTGAGAGAAGAAAAAGAGATATGTTATCTATCAAAACCTAGTTAGGCAAGGCAAGGCAAGGCAAGGCAAGGCAAGGCAAGGCAAGGCAAGGCAAGGCAAGGCAAGGCAAGGCAAGGCAAGGCAAGGCAAGGCAAGTTTATTTATATAGCACCTTTCAACACAAGGTAATTCAAAGTGCTTTACAAAAATGGAAGACATTTTAAAAATGGCATTTAAAATCAGTCATTAAAAAGAAAAGATAATAAAATAAACATTAAAAGAAAAAATACATGGATAAAAGTTAAAAGTTACAGTGCAGTTTTAAGATGTGAATAGTTCAATTAAAAGCAGCGGCAAAAAGAAAAGTCTTCAGCCTGGATTTAAAAGTAGTAAGAGTTGCAGCGGACCTGCAGGTTTCTGGGAGTTTGTTCCAGATATTTGGAGCATAATAACTGAATGCTGCTTCTCCATGTTTAGTTCTGACTCTGGGGACAGAAAGCTGACCAGTCCCTGAAGACCTGAGAGTTCTGGATGGTTCATAATTTAGCAGTAGGTCAGACATGTATTTTGGGCCTAAAACCATTCAAAGCTTTATAAACCAGCAACAATATTTTGAAATCTATTCTTTGACACACAGGAAGCCAGTGTAAAGACTTCAGAACAGGAGTGATGTGATCCACTTTCTTAGTGTTAGTGAGGACTCGAGCAGCAGCGTTCTGAATCAGCTGCAGCTTTCTAATAGATTTTTTAGTGAGACCTGTAAAGACACCATTACAGTAGTCGAGTCTACTGAAGATAAAAGCATGGACAAGTTTCTCCAAATCCTGCTGTGACATTAGTCCTTTAATCCTAGATATGTTCTTTAGGTGATAGTAGGCTGATTTAGTAACTGTTTTAATGTGACTGTTGAAACTCAGGTCAGAGTCCATGACTACACCTAGATTTCTGGCTTTATCTGTTGTTTTGAACATTGCAGACTGAAGCTCAGCGCTAACTTTTATACGTTCTGCCTTGGCTCCAAAAACCATTACCTCAGTTTTATCTTTGTTTAATTGGAGAAAGTTCTGACACATCCAGTCATTGATTTGTTCAATGCACTTACTCAGTGTTTGAATTGGAGCATAATCTCCTGGTGAAATTGTTACGTAAATTTGTGTGTCATCCGCATAGCTATGGTAACTTATTTTGTTGTTCTTCATTATCTGAGCCAGTGGTAGCATGTAGATGTTAAAGAGAAGAGGCCCCAAGATGGAGCCTTGAGGTACCCCACATGTCATATTTGTCAACTCAGATGTGTATTTACCTATAGAAACAAAGTTTTTTTCTGTCCTTTAAGTAGGACTCAAACCAATTTAGAACTGTTGCCGAAAGTCCCACCCAGTTGTCTAGTCGGTCTAGTAATATGTTGTGGTCAACAGTGTCAAACGCAGCACTGAGATCTAATAATACTAACACTGAAGTTCTGCCACTGTCTGTGTTTAAGTGGATGTCATTGAAGACCTTTACAAGAGCAGTCTCAGTGCTGTGGTTTGGACGAAATCCTGACTGGAACACATCCAAACAGTTATTTAAATGCAAGAAGTTACTCAACTGTTGAAATACAACTTTTTCAATGATTTTACCTAGAAATGGCAGGTTTGATATGGGCCTGTAATTGTTCATTACTGAGGCATCTAGATTATTCTTTTTTAAGAGCGGTTTAATGACTGCAGTTTTCAGGGCCTCTGGAAAAATACCTGAGTGAAGAGATGTGTTTACTATATGAAGTAGATCTGAGGCCATGCAAGGAAAAACATCTTTGAAAAATCCTGTTGGAATAATATCAAGGCAGCAGGAGGAGGATTTCAGAAGTTGAATAATGTCCTCTAAGTTTTTACCATTAATCTGATGGAATTGTGTCATGGTGTTTGAATTGATATTAGGTGGACATAGGGACAAAACATTTGCTGTACCTGATGCAGAGGCACTGACTGCTTGTCTAATTTTCTGAATTTTGTCAGTGAAGAAGGAGGCAAAATCATTGCACGCCCTGGTGGATAGAAATTCAGAGGCTACTGACACTGGGGGGTTAGTTAGTCTGTCGACGGTAGCAAACAAGGCACGTGCGTTGTTTTTGTTTTTGGTAATGATGTCAGAGAAGAAAGACTGTCGTGCGTTTTTCAATTCCAAATTATAAAGGCCAAGTCTCTCTTTATAGATTTCAAAGTGAACCTGGAGATTTGTTTTTCGCCACCTACGTTCAGCTTTTCGACACTCTCTTTTTTCTGTTCTCACGGTCATGGCCTTTCTCCATGGAGATATTTTCTTGCCAATCACTTCCTTTACCTTAGTTGGAGCAATGGCATCTATAACATTTTTAATTTTTGAATTAAAATGATCTACTAGCTCATTTACTGAGATGTTAGCAGGGGCAAGTGTGGATGAAAAATTATGAGTAAACATTTCCCTAGTATTTTCTGTTGAATATCGCTTTGTGGTTACCTCTTTCTGAACATTTTTGTGAACAGAAATAGAGCTCTCAAAGAAAACACAGGAATGATCAGAGAGTGCAACATCAGTCACCACAACCTTTGAGATATTCAGACCCTTTGAGATAATTAAGTCCAGAGTGTGCCCCTTATTGTGCGTGGGCTCCGCCACATGCTGAGTCAGTCCATAGTTATCAAGAACACAAAACAGTTCTTTAGCCCCTCTGTCCTGGGGGTTGTCAACATGGATGTTAAAATCACCAACAATGACTAAACGGTCAAAGTCAATACACACTATAGACAGCAGTTCAGTAAAATCATCAAAAAAGCTTGCACAGTATTTGGGTGGTCTATAGATATTTAGGAACAGAGCTCGAGAGGAGCATTTCAGCTGAAGGGCCACATATTCAAAAGAAGCAAAGTCCCCATAAAATGTCTTCCTGCATTGAATGGAATCATTGAACAAAATAGCAACTCCACCCCCTTTCTTATGCATTCTTTCCTGACTCATAAAACTAAAGTTGGGAGGGGTTGATTTGATAAGAACAGCTGCACTGTTATTTTGTTCAATCCAAGTTTCCGTTAAAAACATAAAATCGAGATTGTGCTCAGTGATAAAATCATTGATTAAAAATGTTTTTCCTGCCAAAGACCTGACATTTAATAAAGCTAGTTTAAGTTTGTTAAATACACTATCAGTAAAAAATGTTGTGACAAGCTGTGGCTGACATGGAATCACTGCTAAATTTGATAACCTCACACAAACGTTTGAGCACTTCCTGTTTCTAAGCTGATTTACCGCTCTTAATCTATTACCTATCAACACAGATATCGGCAAAGCTACTGGCAGGCAGGGCCCCGGCATGTGCTGGAAAGAGTTGAGAGTGCCATATGCCCTTGAGCCTGGACCCAGCACATATCAGTAAAAGTTTGTTGCGTTTTGTACACACACATCCTTATCAGGCTTCGGAGACTGCAGATGCTTTCTTGAAGGGATGGGAGGTGGTTGACGTAGGCACGGTGATGAAGACGGGGGAGATGGTGCGCGTCTCTGCTTCTGTGATTTTGGTGGGCGTTGTGGAAGGGCGGGGGTAAAGGAGATGCTGCCAGGGGGGGGAGGTGGTTGACGTAGGCTTGTCTTCGGTGATTTTGGTGGGCGTCGTTGAGGGGCGGGGGTAAAGGACATGCTGCCAACCCTGCATATCGCCTTCATGCGGTCATCGAACTCCAGGGGGGAGGGCGAGGGTGAAAGGGTGAGCGGAGAGTAGAGAGAGCTGGGGGATGAATGAAGAGTATCCTCAAAGGCGTTGACAGGGGGGGGTGACGGGCAGTGGAGACTCCTCCATTTGTGTCATAGGTCTCCCATAATCAGAACATTCCTCAGGCGGGTGCAGTGATACTTCTTCAGGGTTTTCTGCGCAATGTGTTGTGTCTTTCTCCTGTTTTGATTCCTCTTGCCGCTTGTCCTTGGCAGAGGGAACAGATTGCTGACGCAGGCAGTTGAATATGTTAGAGATAAACAATTTCACTCCTGACTTGTTCAGGCAAACTCCATCTGCCTTAAAAAGATGTCTGCGATCCCAGAAAAAGTTAAAATTGTCAATAAAATGGACAGAATGGTCAGTGCAGGCAGCTGAAAGCCACATGTTCAATGCAAACAGTCTGCTGAATCTCTCCACTCCTCTTCTGACTGGCGGTAGAGGGCCACTGATGAACACCTCCGCATTTAGAAAGCTGACAGTTTCCAACAGACATTTAAAGTCTTCTTTCAGCGCTTCTGACTGTTGTTTCACAACATCATTTGTTCCAATATATAGTACCACATTCTTCACAGTCGGATGTTCAGCCCCAATATGCAGGATCTTCTCAGCCAAGTCGGAGACCATATCCTTGGGAAAACAGAGTACTTTGGTGTTGTTCTTACTACACAGACCTTTTACATCTCTTACAGCAGAGTCACCCACAATCAGAGTTTCAGGCCCAGTCGTTAGCTTTCCCTCTAGCCTTTTACTTTTGGAGTAGCTATTGGTCCTTACCCTGCTGTGTGAAGAGGACAGGTTATCCAGGTCATCAGAAAGAGATCTCCGGTTCTCGGTCAGCGGAGCGTATCTGTTCTGGATTGGCACACTTGGTGGTTTAGGAGGATTGTTTGTAGTTCTCCCTTTAGCAGCTGTCCACGGCTGTTTCCTAGTATGAATAGGGGTTGAAGAGGCACTCTTCCTGGGTGATAACAATGCAGGCCAGCCAGTCGCATCACAGATTTCAGAGCGCTGGGCTCTGCCTGTTATTCGTCCTCCCAAATCCCATGGAAATGATTTACTCTTAGGCTTTGCACCCAGAGAGTTCCAGGGAGGACTACCACTTGTAGATTTATTACCCAGTACACAGCCCTCCTGTTCCTTGGAAACCTTGTAGCTGCTAACTAGCTGTGAGTTAGCATACCCTTTTCCATTATTTTGCAACACTGGTAAAGTGGTGTTATTCCCACAACATAGTCCATTCACTTCCACGTTAACTTCCAACCGTTGCATTTTCATTTCCAACACAGCCATCTTCTGTTGAAGTTTGTGGAAGTCATCTGTAGAGAACGGAGGCATTTTGCTACCAACTAGCTTAAGCTAAATAGCATGCAGTAGCCTACCAGGCTTTAGCTGTTGCTAGGCCACGCTACTGTAAGACTGAGGTCGTCGTAAAAATGTTGAAATATGGCTGAAACCCTCCGTCTATTTACGATGAATAACTGTCCCAGTGATAAGTTAATGTCCAGGAGCCGCTGCTCGAAGTTTTCAGAGAATAAGAATAGGAAAATCAGCATAAAAAGTAAGCAGAGGCAAGAGCAAGCAGAAAAGCGTCTGCACTGTAAGAAAGATAAGGGAGCAAAAATATTAGATTAGTTAGATTAACATTCATTGGATTGCACACTTAGTTTGTTTGTGTGGATATGTAGCAAATTAACATGTTAAATAGCACTTAATGACTGACTGAATGGAAATGACAATAAATTAAAATGTAAAACGAAAAAAGCAATCACGAAAATGTTTCCAATAAATGAATGAAATGATTTTTGTCCACTTTGTTGTTCAGATATATCACATATTTGTAACTGAATGATGCATTCATTGAAACAAAACACAGTATAAACTGAGGAGTGAGTCCCGTGAGTTTCATGTGTTTTCTTCACTCCGCTGGGAAACTGCTCTCATGTCAAGAAGCATCAGATCAGTGCATGCGCTGCATCGTCCAATCAGTGAGCGATACACAGTAAGGGGGCGGGGCGAGTGTCTGAGGATTTCATCGAAGGATGGTCTGGTGGTTCCTCGGTTATCGCTCCTCCGTTATCGCTCCTCGATCCTCGGTCCTCGGTCCTCCGGCAAAAATAAGGCCATTGGGACGTTACTCAAAATGGCGCAGACAAATCAACTTCCGGTGAGACCGAGACCGAGGAGCGAGGAAATGAAAAATAAGAGAAGTGAAAAGCAGCCTCTGTTCACTCCAAGAACACTGGATAATCAATCTGCAGCCAATAGCAGAGCAGAAGAGCAGATCACATGACCTGAGTATGAGAGTAGAGAGGGAAATAAGAAGGGAGGTGGCTGAAATCAAAAGCTGCCCTTTACAAAAACTAATGATGTGTGTAAAAAATGTGTTGTTTCCACAGACAGAGAGCAGAGTCTCCAGAACCCAGCTGGGGTTATATGAAGAGTGACGGGTCTATAGGGGAACCTCCAGCCCCTCCGGCAAAAATAAGGCCATTGGGACGTTACTCAAAATGGCGCAGACAAATCAACTTCCGGTGAGACCGAGACCGAGGAGCGAGGAAATGAAAAATAAGAGAAGTGAAAAGCAGCCTCTGTTCACTCCAAGAACACTGGATAATCAATCTGCAGCCAATAGCAGAGCAGAAGAGCAGATCACATGACCTGAGTATGAGAGTAGAGAGGGAAATAAGAAGGGAGGTGGGGGCAAGCAGCTTTTCTACTTGCTAAGTGCTGAGCAGGTGGAACGGGCAGCTAATCCACAGAGGCCATCCTTCCTATCTACACTGCCACATAGAAATGAGTTCAAGGAATATTACACCATCTTCTAAACAGATGAATGTCTAAAATGCTTTGAGAGAGGCAGGTTCAAAGATTCTCTATTTATGCTTTTATTATCAAACCAGGAAATGAAAGAGCCTCAGACACAAAGTAAGAGTCTGTTTCTACTGTAATCTAACCTGAAGAGGATTCTGATTTGATCTGAGTAGCAGATCACTGTATAGAAACACAGTAAAGCATCACTGTGGAGTACAGTAATGAAACAAAGTAAATTAGAGTAAAGAAACCCAGAAGAGGAAAGTAGAGAGGTGTAACTGAGCTCTGGCTGTGCTCCTTGGCATCATCAGCCACAGTAAACAATCTACTATTGTGAAATCATTCTCACATTCGAGATGTGGGACTTTGTGTTAGGTTAAGTAAATACATTTCGAACATGTAAAACGTTCCCCTCTCACAAAGGATTTCTAACAACCAAAACCCTCAAACACTACAGAAAGACAGAAAGTTCAGAGCAAGTCCAAAAATCTTTAATAAGGTAAACCGGCTGAAATCAAAAGCTGCCCTTTACAAAAACTAATGATGTGTGTAAAAAATGTGTTGTTTCCACAGACAGAGAGCAGAGTCTCCAGAACCCAGCTGGGGTTATATGAAGAGTGACGGGTCTATAGGGGAACCTCCAGCCTTCAGTATTGAACCTAGACCCATATACACAAAGTAAGAGTCTGTTTCTACTGTGATCTGACCTGAAGAGGATTCATTTTATATGCCAACGGATCATCTACACTGTTCTTTAATATTTACATGAGCGCAGTAGATAACAGCACAGAAACACAGTAGAATACAGTAAACATCTACAGCAGAGTTCAGTAATGAAACACTGTAAAGTGCAATAAAGTAAATTAGAGTAAAGAAACCCAGAAGAGGAAAGTAGAGAGGTGTAACTGAGCTCTGGCTGTGCTCCTTGGCATCATCAGCCACAGTAAACAATCTACTATTGTGAAATCATTCTCACATTCGAGATGTGGGACTTTGTGTTAGGTTAAGTTCAAGGTTCTTTATTGTCAATCTGACATAGCTACAATTATGCAGTTGAAAATCTTATGTCACAGGCTTCTCCAACAATGCAACATAATAACATAGTAACAATAAGAGCATGAGCAATACAAAAATAATAATAGTTATACAAATGAAATAAAGTTATGATGTGGAATAGTGCAGTACGAGTCTATATACAAGTTATTGAAATGATATATATATATATATATATATATATATATATTAGGTATTAGATACATGCTACTGAGTAGCAGATGAATGTTTGATGTTGTTTCAACAGTTCAATTTTTTAACAGTCTCACTGCCCGCGGGAAGCAACTGTCTCCGAATCTTCTTGTCCTTGCCAGGATGCTGCGGTAACGTCTGCCAGACGGCAACAGAAAGAACAGTTTGTGGCTGGGGTGATGGGAGTCTTTGATAATCCGTAGTGATTTCTTCATGAGCCGCTGGGAGTAAAGGTCCTCCATGGATGGCAGCTCCGTCCTGGTGATGTGCTGTGCAGTTTTCACCACCCTCTGTAAAGCCTTACGATCGAGGTCGGTGCAGCTGCCGTACCAGGCCGTCATGCTGCCAGTGAGGATACTCTCTATCGTGCACCTGTAGAAGTTGCAGAGTATCCTGGAATCCATTTTGAACCTCCTCAGCCTGCGGAGGAAGAAGAGCCGCTGTCGAGCTTTCTTGGTGATGGTGGTGGTGTGAAGAGACCATGTCAGGTCCTCAGTGATGTGGACCCCAAGGAACCTGAAGCTTTTGACTCTCTCCACCGTAGTCCCATTGATGGCGATGGGGGCGTGTCCCTCTCCCTGCTGCTTCCTGTAGTCCACAATCAGCTCCTTTGTTTTGCTGATGTTGAGATGGAGGTTGTTATCCTGGCACCAAGATGTCAGGTTTTCGACCTCCTCTCTGTACGCCGCCTCGTCATCGCCTGTGATCTGGCCGATGACGGTCGTGTCATCAGCAAACTTCACGATGGTGTTGGAGCTGTGTGTGGCCACGCAGTCGTGGGTGAACAGGGAGTAGAGGAGAGGGCTGAGCACGCAGCCTTGAGGGGCACCGGTGTTGAGAATCAGGGTGGAGGATGTGATATTTCCCACCCGCACTGCCTGGGGTCTGCCCGTCAGGAAGTTCAGGATCCAGCCACAGAGGGCGCTGTTGAGCCCGAGGTCTCTGAGCTTGATGGCCAGCTTGGAGGGCACAATGGTGTTGAATGCTGAACTGTAGTCAATGAACAGCATTCTCACATATGTGTTCCTGTTCTTCGGGTCCAGGTGTGAGAGGGCAGTGTGGAGGGTGAGGGCTATGGCGTCGTCTGTGGACCTGTTTGCTCTGTAGGCAAACTGCAGGGGGTCCAGAGATTCAGGGAGGGAGGAGGTGATGAATAATTTGACTAACCGCTCAAAGCACTTCATTATGATGGAGGTGAGTGCTACTGGGCGGTAGTCGTTGGGGCAGGTGATGATTGTCTTTTTGGGGACAGGAATGATGGTGGAGTGTTTAAGACATGTGGGGACTACAGACTGCAGCAGGGACCCGTTGAAGATGTCTGTGAACACCTCTGCCAGCTGAACTGCACACACCCTGAGAACACGGCCAGGGATGCCATCAGGTCCAGGAGCCTTGTGTGGGTTAACTCTTTTAAAGGATTTACACACATCTGCCCTATTTAAAACAAAAGGGCAGTGTAGCTCCTGGTCCCTCTGTACCTCCACAGCCTGGCTGCTCTCAAAGCGTGCAAAAAAACTGTTTAGCTCATCTGGGAGAGATGCGCACGCAGACACTCCCGCAGCACCCCCCGCTGCTCCTTTGTAGTCAGTCATTGTCCTTAGTCCCGCCCACATATTCCTAGTGTTACAGCCTTTGAAGTCAGATTCCACCTTGTCTTTGTACTGTCTCTTTGCATTTTTAATTGCTCTCCGGAGATCATACCTAGACTTCCTGTACTCCTCCAAATCTCCCGCTGTGTGCGCGAGAGTGCGCGCTTTCAGTTTGCCGCGCACCTCACCGTTTACCCAGGGCTTTTGATTTGGGAATGTCCGTACAGAAACCTTCGGTACCACGTCATCGATGCATTTCCCAATGTAGCAGATGACAGTGTCCGTGTGTGTGTTGATGTTATTGTCCTCAAACACACTCCAATCCGTAGATGCAAAGCAATCCTGCAGTGCTGAATCTGACTCCACGCTCCATCGTTGTACTGTCCTTGTTACCGGTCTGTCCCTTTTAAGTTTCTGCTTGTACGCAGGCAACAACAGTAGTGAGATATGGTCTGATTTGCCGAAGGGAGGGCGAGGGAGAGCCTTATATCCATTCCGGAAGGGGAATAAACATGGTCCAGTATGTTTCCCCCGCGCGTCGGGAAGTTGATGTGTTGTAAATAAATTTTGAACATGTAAAACGTTCCCCTCTCACAAAGGATTTCTAACAACCAAAACCCTCAAACACTACAGAAAGACAGAAAGTTCAGAGCAAGTCCAAAAATCTTTAATAAGGTAAACCGGCTGAAATCAAAAGCTGCCCTTTACAAAAACTAATGATGTGTTTAAAAAATGTGTTGTTTCCACAGAAAGAGTGCAAAGTCTCGAGTACCCAGCTATCGGTCTCTGAAGAGTGACTGGTCTATACGGGAACCTCCAGCCTTCAGTATTGAACCTGGACCCTCAGACACACAGTAAGAGTCTGTTTCTACTGTGATCTGACCTGAAGAGGATTCATTTTATATGCCAACGGATCATCTACACTGTTCTTTAATATTTACATGAGCGCAGTAGATAACAGCACAGAAACACAGTAGAATACAGTAAACATCTACAGCAGAGTTCAGTAATGAAACACTGTAAAGTGCAATAAAGTAACGCAGTAGGTAACTGTCTTGTTCTTGTACTATATGTACAATTAATACTCCAGACGGCAACGTGCCAATACTCAGTATTTATTCATACGCAAGAGACATACAGGCTTACGCTTCTGTTTGCTGTCAACACAGGACACACACACACACACACACACACACACACACACACACACACACACACACACAGCGATATAGAGAAGGTTAAGCTGTCATTATTAGGCTGTAATTTGTTATACTGTTGGAGTGGTAAGCAGGCCTATTGTTTTTGGATATTTGTGGAGTTAGGTGTGTTTTTTAATTGGTTAAGTGGTCCCTGATATGAAAAAGGTTTGAGAAACACTGCTCTAGGGCACCACTACAGGGGGTTATTTAGACGCTGGCAAGCATTACTTTCTCTCTTCTGCTCGCATATTGTTTCTGATCATTTTAAATGTATCATTTTTATTATGACAAAAATAAACTATATTGTGATAATGGCATATTGTATATATATTAAAAATAAGAAGGCGAAATATTCATACTAGTCGATGTAATGACGCCATACCATTACACATAGCAACAACAATGTCTGAGTGAAACTGCCACCAGCTCCATGGTGGAAGATTTACTCCCAAAAAAAGATGTGTGACTTCAGTATTGTTGAACATTGGCTAGCCACTGAGGCTACAGCCCAGAATGTTATATTTTTAAAGACTTTTTGCACTTTTAGCAACTTGTAATTTCAGTATGTTGCAGCAATATTTTCCAGTATTTTGTTATATCATAATCGCAAAAACAGAATGAACATGCTAATACTATTTTAGGGCTACATTGTGTAAACCTTTGGCAGATTTAAATTACATTTCATTGAGCTGATGCTTTCATCCAAAGTGACTTACAATAAGTATCAACCATGAAGATACAAACTCAGAACAGCAAGAAATCTGCATGTAAAATAGTTTCAAATAACACAAACCATTGTAAGTACTGGTGCATTGGTTTTAAAGAGCAAAGCGTTTAGTTTTGTGTGTGTGTGTGTTTCTTTAAAGTTTGATGGTGAAGGTGCAGTGAAAACTGATGGGTTTCAGTCTGCGACAGAAGATCTCATTTCTTCTGCTTTAACAGAATGAAACCCTCTGTTCACTACAAGAACACTGGATAATCAATCTGCAGCCAATAGCAGCGCAGAAGAGCAGATCACATGACCTGAGTATGAGAGTAGAGAGGGAAATAAGAAGGGAGGTGGGGGCAAGCAGCTTTTCTACTTGCTAAGTGCTGAGCAGGTGGAACGGGCAGCTAATCCACAGAGGCCATCCTTCCTATCTACACTGCCACATAGAAATGAGTTCAAGGAATATTTCACCATCTTCTAAACAGATGAATGTCTAAAATGCTTTGAGAGGCAGGTACAAAGATTCTCTATTTATGCTTTTATTATCAAACCAGGAAATGAAAGAGCCTCAGACACAAAGTAAGAGTCTGTTTCTACTGTAACCTGACCTGAAGAGGATTCTGATTTGATCTGAGTAGCAGATCACTGTATAGAAACACAGTAAAGCATCACTGTGGAGTACAGTAATGAAACAAAGTAAATTAGAGTAAAGAAACCCAGAAGAGGAAAGTAGAGAGGTGTAACTGAGCTCTGGCTGTGCTCCTTGCAGTGTTAATTTTGGCAGCTGTTTTTGAGTTAGTCTTAGTCTTAGTCTTTAGACGAAAATGGTTATTAGTTTTAGTCACATTTTAGTCATTTCTATCCTTCATAGTTTTAGTCTAGTTTTAGTCGACGAAAACTCAAAACGTTTTAGTCTACTTTTAGTCGATGAAAAAATACATTTTAGTCAACTTTTAGTCAAAATGTTTTCTCTCTTTAAACCAATTCAGTTAGGCAAATACAGGTTTCTGACATTGTAATCAAGGTGACAGCATCAAGTGTTGAAATTCGTAAAGCAACATTTCACTCTCTTAACACTTTACTTGTGTAATATCTAGGGATGGGTATCGTTAAGGTTTTCTACGGTACTACTAGTCTTATCAATACTGCTTATCAATCCAGTACTTTAACGGTATTCTTGTATTTACTTTTTGTTATTTTTTAAAGGAAAAAACTAACAAATTGTTAAACGAATTAATTGCTTTATTTAAATGTGAAATAAATGAAATATATATAATTATGTTAAAATATTGTAGGCTACTGTACTTGAGTAAAATGTTGAGGTACTTGTACTTTACTGGAGTATTTAAATGTTTTGCTACTTTGTACTTCTCCTCCACTAAATGTATTTAATACCTTTAGTTACTTCACAGATGTGGATGAATGATGTGAAATATAATCAAGTGTTAAATCAGACTTTAGTTCCACCTGGAGTAAATCCACAAGCTACTCTGTAGTATACAAAGTCATTCAAACTAGCTGCACCTTTACCAGCTTTGAGAACACTTTCATGATCAATCATTATAAAACATATCATATATATTATTCTGAAATGGACCAATCTGCACAATGACTACTTTCACTGTCGCTACTTTATCTATATTTTGATGATCATACTTTGACTTGAGGAACTCTTTCTACACTATGGTATTTTTTTTACTTAGCTACAAGATCTGAGTAGGCTACTTCTCCCACCTCTGCACACCTGATGTTAAGGAAGTCGAAAATTGTGCATTTCTCCGATTGAATATGACGCCTTTTAGCCGGCTGTTTGGACAGACTACTCTACTCGTGTCAACGCGCTAACGCGAAAACATGGCAAACGAGCTTTGTCCACATCGAGCCTTGTAGAGTGTCTCTATACTCTCTGAACGCTCCGTCCCCGGCAGATCTCTGTGTGCCGCTGCAGCGTGTCTGTTAGGCCCCGCCCCCCACACACACAGAGAGAGAGGGAGATCGCTCTTCTGGAGTGAAGAGAGCGGAAATAATGATATTGCAAGTTAGAAACGTAAGATGCATTTTGACAGACAAGACGAACACTTGGGGGGAAATACCCTGCATTTTGAATGTCCGATAGTCCACCATTAACACCTTAGTCCCGTCTCGTCTCGTCAACGAAAACTAAATATACATTTCGTCAAATTTTCGTTATCAAGAATCTATTTTTAGCTCGTCATCGTCTCGTCTTAGTCGTGTAAAAAAGGTTGTTGACGAACATTTTTCGTCATAGTTTACGTTAACGAAATTAACACTGGCTCCTTCGCATCATCAGCCACAGTAAACAATCTACTATTGTGAAATCATTCTCACATTCGAGATGTGGGACTTTGTGTTAGGTTAAGTAAATACATTTCGAACATGTAAAACGTTCCCCTCTCACAAAGGATTTCTAACAACCAAAACCCTCAAACACTACAGAAAGACAGAAAGTTCAGAGCAAGTCCAAAAATCTTTAATAAGGTAAACCGGCTGAAATCAAAAGCTGCCCTTTACAAAAACTAATGATGTGTGTAAAAAATGTGTTGTTTCCACAGACAGAGAGCAGAGTCTCCAGAACCCAGCTGGGGTTATATGAAGAGTGACGGGTCTATAGGGGAACCTCCAGCCTTCAGTATTGAACCTGGACCCATATACACAAAGTAAGAGTCTGTTTCTACTGTGATCTGACCTGAAGAGGATTCATTTTATATGCCAACGGATCATCTACACTGTTCTTTAATATTTACATGAGCGCAGTAGATAACAGCACAGAAACACAGTAGAATACAGTAAACATCTACAGCAGAGTTCAGTAATGAAACACTGTAAAGTGCAATAAAGTAAATTAGAGTAAAGAAACCCAGAAGAGGAAAGTAGAGAGGTGTAACTGAGCTCTGGCTGTGCTCCTTGGCATCATCAGCCACAGTAAACAATCTACTATTGTGAAATCATTCTCACATTCGAGATGTGGGACTTTGTGTTAGGTTAAGTTCAAGGTTCAAGGTTCTTTATTGTCAATCTGACATAGCTACAATTATGCAGTTGAAAATCTTATGTCACAGGCTTCTCCAACAATGCAACATAATAACATAGTAACAATAAGAGCATGAGCAATACAAAAATAATAATAGTTATACAAATGAAATAAAGTTATGATGTGGAATAGTGCAGTACGAGTCTATATACAAGTTATTGGAATGATATATATATATATATATATATATTAGGTATTAGATACATGCTACTGAGTAGCAGATGAATGTTTGATGTTGTTTCAACAGTTCAATTTTTTAACAGTCTCACTGCCCGCGGGAAGCAACTGTCTCCGAATCTTCTTGTCCTTGCCAGGATGCTGCGGTAACGTCTGCCAGACGGCAACAGAAAGAACAGTTTGTGGCTGGGGTGATGGGAGTCTTTGATAATCCGTAGTGATTTCTTCATGAGTCGCTGGGAGTAAAGGTCCTCCATGGATGGCAGCTCCGTCCTGGTGATGTGCTGTGCAGTTTTCACCACCCTCTGTAAAGCCTTACGATCGAGGTCGGTGCAGCTGCCGTACCAGGCCGTCATGCTGCCAGTGAGGATACTCTCTATCGTGCACCTGTAGAAGTTGCAGAGTATCCTGGAATCCATTTTGAACCTCCTCAGCCTGCGGAGGAAGAAGAGCCGCTGTCGAGCTTTCTTGGTGATGGTGGTGGTGTGAAGAGACCATGTCAGGTCCTCAGTGATGTGGACCCCAAGGAACCTGAAGCTTTTGACTCTCTCCACCGTAGTCCCATTGATGGCGATGGGGGCGTGTCCCTCTCCCTGCTGCTTCCTGTAGTCCACAATCAGCTCCTTTGTTTTGCTGATGTTGAGATGGAGGTTGTTATCCTGGCACCAAGATGTCAGGTTTTCGACCTCCTCTCTGTACGCCGCCTCGTCATCGTCTGTGATCTGGCCGATGACGGTCGTGTCATCAGCAAACTTCACGATGGTGTTGGAGCTGTGTGTGGCCACGCAGTCGTGGGTGAACAGGGAGTAGAGGAGAGGGCTGAGCACGCAGCCTTGAGGGGCACCGGTGTTGAGAATCAGGGTGGAGGATGTGATGTTTCCCACCCGCACTGCCTGGGGTCTGCCCGTCAGGAAGTTCAGGATCCAGCCACAGAGGGCGCTGTTGAGCCCGAGGTCTCTGAGCTTGATGGCCAGCTTGGAGGGCACAATGGTGTTGAATGCTGAACTGTAGTCAATGAACAGCATTCTCACATATGTGTTCCTGTTCTTCGGGTCCAGGTGTGAGAGGGCAGTGTGCAGGGTGAGGGCTATGGCGTCGTCTGTGGACCTGTTTGCTCTGTAGGCAAACTGCAGGGGGTCCAGAGATTCAGGGAGGGAGGAGGTGATGAATAATTTGACTAACCGCTCAAAGCACTTCATTATGATGGAGGTGAGTGCTACTGGGCGGTAGTCGTTGGGGCAGGTGATTATTGTCTTTTTGGGGACAGGAATGATGGTGGAGTGTTTAAAACATGTGGGGACTACAGACTGCAGCAGGGACCCGTTGAAGATGTCTGTGAACACCTCTGCCAGCTGAACTGCACACACCCTGAGAACACGGCCAGGGATGCCATCAGGTCCAGGAGCCTTGTGTGGGTTAACCCTTTTAAAGGATTTACACACATCTGCCCTATTTAAAACAAAAGGGCAGTGTAGCTCCTGGTCCCTCTGTACCTCCACAGCCCGGCTGCTCTCAAAGCGTGCAAAAAAACTGTTTAGCTCATCTGGGAGAGATGCGCACGCAGACACTCCCGCAGCACCCCCCGCTGCTCCTTTGTAGTCAGTCATTGTCCTTAGTCCCGCCCACATATTCCTAGTGTTACAGCCTTTGAAGTCAGATTCCACCTTGTCTTTGTACTGTCTCTTTGCATTTTTAATTGCTCTCCGGAGATCATACCTAGACTTCCTGTACTCCTCCAAATCTCCTGCTGTGTGCGCGAGAGTGCGCGCTTTCAGTTTGCCGCGCACCTCACCGTTTACCCAGGGCTTTTGATTTGGGAATGTCCGTACAGAAACCTTCGGTACCACGTCATCGATGCATTTCCCAATGTAGCAGATGACAGTGTCCGTGTGTGTGTTGATGTTATTGTCCTCAAACACACTCCAATCCGTGGATGCAAAGCAATCCTGCAGTGCTGAATCTGACTCCACGCTCCATCGTTGTACTGTCCTTGTTACCGGTCTGTCCCTTTTAAGTTTCTGCTTGTACGCAGGCAACAACAGTAGTGAGATATGGTCTGATTTGCCGAAGGGAGGGCGAGGGAGAGCCTTATATCCATTCCGGAAAGGGGAATAAACATGGTCCAGTATGTTTCCCCCGCGCGTCGGGAAGTTGATGTGTTGTAAATAAATTTTGAACATGTAAAACGTTCCCCTCTCACAAAGGATTTCTAACAACCAAAACCCTCAAACACTACAGAAAGACAGAAAGTTCAGAGCAAGTCCAAAAATCTTTAATAAGGTAAACCGGCTGAAATCAAAAGCTGCCCTTTACAAAAACTAATGATGTGTTTAAAAAATGTGTTGTTTCCACAGAAAGAGTGCAAAGTCTCGAGTACCCAGCTATCGGTCTCTGAAGAGTGACGGGTCTATACGGGAACCTCCAGCCTTCAGTATTGAACCTGGACCCTCAGACACACAGTAAGAGTCTGTTTCTACTGTGATCTGACCTGAAGAGGATTCATTTGATATGCCAACGGATCATCTACACTGTTCTTTAATATTTACATGAGCGCAGTAGATAACAGCACAGAAACACAGTAGAATACAGTAAACATCTGCAGCAGAGTTCAGTAATGAAACACTGTAAAGTGCAATAAAGTAACGCAGTAGGTAACTGTCTTGTTCTTGTACTATATGTACAATTAATACTCCAGACGGCAACGTGCCAATACTCAGTATTTATTCATACGCAAGAGACATACAGGCTTACGCTTGTGTTTGCTTTCAACACAACACACACACACACACACACACACACACACACACACACACACACACACACACACACACACACACACACACACACACACACACACACACACACACACACACACACACACACACACACACACACACACACACACACACACACACAGCGATATAGAGAAGGTTAAGCTGTCATTATTAGGCTGTAATTTGTTATACTGTTGGAGTGGTAAGCAGGCCTATTGTTTTTGGATATTTGTGGAGTTAGGTGTGTTTTTTAATTGGTTAAGTGGTCCCTGATATGAAAAGGTTTGAGAAACACTGCTCTAGGGCACCACTACAGGGGGTTATTTAGACGCTGGCAAGCATTACTTTCTCTCTTCTGCTCGCATATTGTTTCTGATCATTTTTATTATGACAAAAATAAACTATATTGTGATAATGGCATATTGTATATATATTAAAAAGAAGAAGGTGAAATATTCATACAAGTCGATGTAATGACGCCATACCATTACACATAGCAACAACAATGTCTGAGTGAAACTGCCACCAGCTCCATGGTGGAAGATTTACTCCCAAAAAAAGATGTGTGACTTCAGTATTGTTGAACATTGGCTAGCCACTGAGGCTACAGCCCAGAATGTTATATTTTTAAAGACTGTTTGCACTTTTAGCAACTTGTAATTTCAGTATGTTGCAGCAATATCTTCCAGTATTTTGTTATATCATAATCGCAAAAACAGAATGAACATGCTAATACTATTTTAGGGCTACATTGTGTAAACCTTTGGCAGATTTAAATTACATTTCATTGAGCTGATGCTTTCATCCAAAGTGACTTATAATAAGTATCAACCATGAAGATACAAACTCAGAACAGCAAGAAATCTGCATGTAAAATAGCTTCAAATAACACAAACCATTGTAAGTACTGGTGCATTGGTTTTAAAGAGCAAAGCGTTTAGTTTTGTGTCTGTGTGTTTCTTTAAAGTTTGATGGTGAAGGTGCAGTGAAAACTGATGGGTTTCAGTCTGCGACAGAAGATCTCATTTCTTCTGCTTGAACAGAATCAAACCCTCTGTTCACTACAAGAACACTGGATAATCAATCTGCAGCCAATAGCAGCGCAGAAGAGCAAAAGCTGCCCTTTACAAAAACTAATGATGTGTTTAAAAAATGTGTTGTTTCCACAGACAGAGAGCAGAGTATCTATTCCCCAGCTATCGGTCTCTGAAGAGTGACTTGTCTATGTGGGAACGTTCATACTGCAGTTTTGAACCCGGACCCTCGGACACAAAGTAAGAGTCTGTTTCGACTGTGATCTGACCTGAAGAGGATTAATTTGATATGCCAACGGATCATCTACACTGTTCTTTAATATTTACATGAGCGCAGTAGATAACAGCACAGAAACACAGTAGAATACAGTAAACATCTACAGCAGAGTTCAGTAATGAAACACTGTAAAGTGCAATAAAGTAACGCAGTAGGTAACTGTCTTGTTCTTGTACTATATGTACAATTAATACTCCAGACGGCAACGTGCCAATACTCAGTATTTATTCATATGCAAGAGACATGCAGGCTTATGTCTTGAAGGAAGGTGAACTTCACACATTGTTTGAATGTCTGGCTGTCTGTCTGGCTGATGACGCATATTGTTACTACGACATCACATGAACCAATCATAAACAAGCATTGTTAAACAGTTTTATCCACATATTCTGAGTATTACAGTTACGGTAAAGAAACACAGTGCTGTAAATAATCACAGCAGATTACAGTAAAGGAACGCAGTAAAGTACACTAAAAAAGTTTAATTGAACTCTTGCTGTTCTCCTTGGCATCATCAGCGATAGTAAATAAACTGCAACAGTGAAATCATTCTCACACTCGACATGTAGGACCTTTTGTTTGGTAACTCAACTTGGAACATGTACAACTTTTCAGTCTCACAAAGAATTGTAACAACAGAAACCCACAAACACAATTTTGAGTAAGAACAAAAGTCTTTAAAAGGGGAATACAAATCAAAACTGAAATCAATGCATGTCAAATGTTTCACTCTCACAAATAAATTGTAACGACAGAAACCCACATGTGTAAAAAATGTGTCTGTCCACAGACAGAGAGCAGAGTCTTCATTAACCAGATATCAATCTCTGACGAGTGACTGGTCCAAACAGGAACCTATATACTTCAGTAATGAACCTGGACCCTCAGACACAAAGTAAGAGTCTGTTTCTACTGTAATCTGATGTGACGAACATATATCTATATATATATCTATATATATAGATATATATATACTGTATATAATGTGCTGTGGGCAGATGATGTTGCAGACAGGAAGTTGTTTTGTTTCATAATTGTATGAATAACTGAAAATGAAATATCATCTACAGATATAGACCTTTTAATAATATCAAACAAGAATTTACCACCTTGGGTTGTACCATTGGTAAAAATCTACCACCAGTATTGTAGTGTGCTATAAAGGATGTGTTCATCTCCACAGAGGGAAGAGGAAGAGTGGTGTTCCTGTGGAGGAGCAGCTGTCCAGCTGTGCTCTGTGTCAGGACGTCCTGAAGGATCCAGTCTCTACCAGCTGTGGACACTGGTTCTGCAGACAGTGCATCACCTCATACTGGGAGCAGCGACCTCCATCAGGAGACCCCTGCTGTCCCCAGTGTGGGAAGAGATCCAGAACCAGAGCTGGACTGCAGACAGACAGTCAGTCCAGAACTCTACAGAGTAAGTCTGAATGTCTGCTGTCGTCTTCATGCCTGAAAACAGGATTCTTCTCGTTGTGTTGTACATAATATAAGTTCATTTAAACAAATGTTCATTATTCTCACGTTTCCTTCTCTTTCAGCAGAACATGGTCTTCAGGAGGTTTTAGATGAACATAGGCTCAGTCTGAGGAGGAGATGTGAACTTGTGACCGAAGGAACTGATGAAAGTGAAACCCTCCTCAACAGGATCTTCACTGAGCTCTACATCACACAAGGCCAGAGTGAAGAGGTTAATACCCAACATGAGGTGAGGCAGCTTGAGACAGCTTCCAAGAAAAATACCCTCCATGACACTCCAATCAAGTGCCAGGACATCTTTAAAGCCTCATCTGACCAACAGACACACATCAGAGCGGTCCTGACCAACGGAGTCGCTGGAGTTGGAAAAACCTTCTCAGTGCAGAAGTTCACTCTGGACTGGGCCGAGGGTTTGGGAAACCAAGATGTCAGTCTGGTGATCCCGCTTTCCTTCAGGGAGCTGAATCTGATCAAAGATGAGCAGTACAGTCTACTCAGGCTGCTCCATGATTTCCATCCAACCTTACAGAAGGTCACAGCAGAGCAGCTGGCTGTCTGCAAAGTGCTGCTCATCTTTGACGGCCTGGATGAAAGCAGACTTTCTCTGGACTTCAGAAACAGTGAGGTTGTGTCTGAGGTCTCACAGCAGTCCTCAGTCAACATGCTGCTGACAAACCTCATCAGGGGGGAGCTACTTCCCTCAGCTCTCGTCTGGATAACTTCCCGACCTGCAGCGGCCAATCAGATCCCTCCTGAGTGTGTGGACAGGGTAACAGAAGTACGAGGCTTCACTGACGCCCAGAAGGAGGAGTACTTCAGGAGGAGATCGAGTGATGAAGACCTGTCCAGCAGAATCATCTCTCACATCAAGAGCTCCAGGAGCCTCCACATCATGTGTCTGATCCCAGTCTTCTGCTGGACCACTGCTGCAGTTCTGGACCGCATGTTGACTACAGACCAGAGAGGAGAGCTGCCCCAGACCCTCACTGACATGTACTCACACTTCCTGCTGGTCCAGACCAAGAGGAAGAAGCAGAAGTATGAAGAGGGACATAAGACGAGTCCACAGCAGCTGACGGAGGCTGACAGGGAGGTTCTTCTGAAGCTGGGGAGGCTGGCGTTTGAACATCTGGAGAAAGGAGACATCATGTTCTACCAAGAAGACCTGCAGCGCTGTGGTCTTGGTGTCACCGAGGCCTTGGTGCACTCAGGAGTTTGTACACAGATCTTCAAAAGAGAGAGTGTGATTTTCCAGAATATAGTGTACTGCTTTGTTCATCTGAGCATTCAGGAGTTTCTGGCTGCAGTCTACATGTTGCACTGTTACACCAACAGGAACACAGCGGTACTGAAGGACTTCCTGCAGGGAGACTGGGATGATAACAACAGTGATGAGGATTACCAAACCCTGAAGGACTTCCTGCAGAGTGACTATAACAACAGTGATAGCAGTGATCAGGAGTACCCATCCCTGGATGTCTTCCTAAAGGGAGCCATGGAGAAATCACTCAAAAGTGAAAATGGCCACCTGGACCTGTTTGTCCGCTTTCTCCACGGCCTCTCTCTGGAGTCCAACCAGAGACTCTTAGGAGGCCTGCTGGGTCGCACAGACAACAGTCCAGAAGTCACCCAGAGAGCCATCAGCAACCTGAAGGAGATGAGAAGTGATGAAGTCCCTCCTGACAGGAGCCTCAACATCTTCCACTGTCTGACAGAGATGAACGACCACTCAGTACATCAGGAGATCGAAGAGTTCCTGAAGTCAGAGAACAGATCAGAGAAGAGACTCTCTGTGAAACGCTGCTCAGCTCTGGCCTTCATGCTGCAGATGTCAGAGGAGGTTCTGGATGAGTTGGACCTGGAGAAATACAAAACATCAGAGGAGGGACGACAGAGACTGACTCCAGCTGTGAGGAACTGCAGGAAGGCTTTGTGAGTCCAGATTAACTTTATAGATTAGTGTAGATAAGGATTTTTGTTTTTCAAATAAACACTATACAACTTTTTGCTGTTTCACATACTGTGAGAACAAAATTGAATGAATACAATTATTCTAATATTTGTAAAAAAATAATTAAGGATGTTTTATCACGGCAACATGTGATCACAACATACAGAATAATTGTACATTTTAAATGGAGTAAAGTTATTGTGAAATGATTGCAGTTTCTTTATCGTTAAATTAGACACAGAGTAATATCTGATTCATGGTGAGTCTAGCCTACTCTAGTCTAGAAGGTAGCTAGAAAAGAGGTGACAGACATGGGATCAGATCACACTCAACCAAATATGAAATGGACTAACATCCAGTGGTAATCAGATCATGATATTCAAAATGTTTCTCCTCAAATGCATGAAGTAAATATATTGCTTCCCCTTTTTTTTATATTAACAAATTCTGTAATATGTGTTATAACAGAATTCCTGACTGTGGATTCTTAGACTGGGAAGTCGTGGCCTCAGCTCTGAAGTCCGACCCCTCCGATCTGAGAGAGCTGGAGCTGGAAGTTGATCTGCAGGATTCAGTGGTGGAGCTGCTGAGTTCTGGACTAAAGATCCCAAACTGCAGACTGGAGACTCTGAGGTCAGATCACTGGCTGTAGTCATGTGGTTTTGTACTGTATTTATAATTGATAAACTGTGATAGACTGAGATCTTGAGTTGAATCAGTTTCTGTGTTTTTGTATTTGTCTGGCTGCACATCATGAGTTAGTGTAGATGGAGCAGAGTTTCAGATGTGAAGTTTCCACTTTTTATTGAAGTAGAAGCACGTTGTCTTTAATATTAATGAAAGCTCTTTTTCTCTTTCTGCATCTTACAGTTTTAAACTTGTTGGCTTCTCCATTCTCTACTTCTCCAGCTATAAACAGATTATTAAACCTTGAATATTTTAAGCAGGAACATTGTTTTCCAAACTTACATCATGTGTTCTTTATTCAGACTGAGGTTCTGCAGTTTGTCAGAGATCAGCTGTGCTGCTCTGATCTCAGCTCTGAAGTCCAACCCCTCCCATCTGAGACATCTGGACCTGAGTGAGAACAATCTGCAGGATTCAGGAGTGAAGCTGCTGAGAGATTTTCTGGAGAGTCCAGACTGCAGACTGGAGACTCTCAGGTCAGTAAGGGTTCGACTCAGTCTCTGCTGGTTCAGCAGTATTGTATTAAACACAGGGAGGTGGATGTGTTTCTCACACTTGGGAATCTCTCCAGTTCCACCTTCAGTTTCTGTGGGTTTGTATTAGTCTGGCTGCACATCATGAGTTAGTGTAGATGGAGCGGAGTTTAAGATGTGGAGTCACCACTTTTTATTGAAGGTGAAGCACGTTGTCTTTAATATTAATGAGAGCTCTTTTCACTTTCTGTATCTTACAGTTTTTAACCTGTCGGGATGTCCACTTTATAAACTTCTACATTCTCTAATTCTCCTGCTATAATCAGATTATTAAACCTTGAATTATTTCAATAAGGAACAATGTTTTCTAAACTTAAATCATGTGTTCTTTATTCAGACTGATTAACTGCAGTTTGTCAGAGATCAGCTGTGCTGCTCTGATCTCAGCTCTGAAGTCCAACGCCTCCCATCTGAGACATCTGGACCTGAGACTCAACAAGCTGAATGATTCAGGAGTGAAGCTGCTGAGAGATCTTCTGGAGAGTCCAGACTGCAGACTGGAGACTCTCGGGTCAGTAAGGGTTCACTCAGTCTCTGCTGGTTCAGCAGTATTGTAATAAACACAGGGAGATGGATGTGTTTCTCACACTGGCTAATCTCTCCAGTTCCACCTTCCAGGCGTAGCCTAGCTTAGCACAACAAATCAGTGATGTTACCGTTTATCTGCAGTTTCTCCTTTTCTTTCATCTTATGTTTCTGTTCTTGCATTCTTCTACAAGCAATATAATACAAGCTGACTATGCAAAGCCACATGTCAGTCAGGTGCAACTCATTAACAGACAAATGGGATTTTACAGTTAAAAAGGTAGTCTGTTTGTTTTTCCTATGAAGTTTTTTTGTTCCTGGACTAATGCCTAGTTAACTCTCTAATGCAGCTGAGATCTGCGGACAGTCAGTCAGTCGGAGTGTTTGCAGAGAAGATATGATGTGATGTGATAAAGCATTCGATCAGTGAGGACTCTGAAGCTGACTAACTCAAAGAACAAACACTTATTTTAACTTGATCTATAACTGTTGGATTGTGTTCATCCCTACAGGATCAATGACGAGACAATCACAGCCAAGATGCAGAAGAAATGTGAGTATTTAACCCATGTCCTCTATTCATTAAACTATCGTACATGCAATCAAATATTTATGTATCACTTATTTATGTATTGATGAAACCTGTGCCTCACGTTTATGTCTAACAGTGGCTAACCTGCTACAACAGTCTAAAACACTTACATTACAAATACGATGCAATATAAAAATACAAATGTGCCAAAACACATGCAAATGAAGAAAAATCTTCACCAACTTGACAACACATGCACAGCATTTAGAAAATATTTACCAACTTAACCCTTCTCTTGCGTTTCGGGTCAAAAGTGACCGAGTGACTTTGTTTTTGATCATAAATATTGTGTTTTTCATCCAATTGCCTCAAGACCTTATGTTATCCTCCACACTAGTGATTTATTCAACAGTGAAACACCCATGATGTTTTCGGTCAGAATTGACCGCCATAGGAAATGAATGGGTTTGAGTGTATTATGTTCATCCTGCAGATGGAAAACATCTGCACGCACGCACGCACGCACGCACGCACACACACACACATAACATACATCCATGGCTCCTCCGCGGATGTATTTCCGGCAACAGTGATGTTTAAAAGAGTCGTGACGCACTGCCGGACTTATCTCAGCCAATGACAGCTCTGCATGCATCCCCTGGATATTATTTTATCAAAGAAATGAATAACCTAGTCTATCCGTCTGAGACACAGCAGTATATGACTTTCAGCACAAATCTTTTTGTCTAATTAATAAATTAAAACAAAAAGGTGGCTTAGTAAACTTTATTTTATTTTTTAGTACATATAAAATAGGTTTTAATCAGATCATAGGGTTAGGGCTAGGGTCGGCAACCCGCGGCTCCCGAGCCGCATCCGGCTCTTTAAGCCCTCTGCTCTGGCTCCCTTGAGTTTAGACAAAAATAAGGAGGAAATAAAATAAAAGTATTTGTAGGACTATTTAAATGTTGTTGCATGGTTGAAAATGTTTCATAAACAAAACGGTTTTAATTAGGTCAACTGATATATGCGTCATATCCTGCTACAGTCCCGCACCAGCGCCTTTTCTTGCAGGTGAATAACCTGACCCCCGGCTCGATGAGCGAACTATGGATAATTCAAAGAAAATAAAAGTATCGGAGGAACACAGAGGGTTTGATTCTGCGCACCTAGCACGGTGCAGAGAGCATAATGAATAAGGGCTATACAAAGGTTCATACTGGGTAGTTTATTTGGTTAAAAAAAATTATCCAACGATTTACAGACCACTCTTTTCCAATGTTAGTCAATGGGAAAAAGTATTTCCGGGCCCAGGGACATCACGGACTGATACGGAAGTTGCAGTACTGCCGTTTGGACACAACGAATATTTTCATCAGAGTCCGGCGCACTTCCTGGGGGCTTGGCAGGGACCTGTCCGACTTCCTCTAGTCATGTCAGTGTATATCCGTAGTTAGTTATACAGTGTAACTCAATAAGAAATAATTTATCAAAAAAAATAACGTCCTTTTATGTAATCAAAATATCTGTGGTTAAAAAGGTAAGCTCTTTACATTCATTCATATGCAGACCTTTGAACCCTCCCTTGTGCTTTCATAACAATTTAATATACGAGTTAAACACGCATTAATTGAACATTATTAAACGTACAATTTAGCACTAAACGAGAACTGTGGACTTTGTCTCATGATAAACATTAAAAATGTGTTAAGTCATTAGGACTCTCATGCCCAAAACCAAGCTCTGAAATTAGAAAACATGACAAACCTCAGGAAACCTGTATGTCAAACTGTAATTTCATTATATTACTTTCTAACTTCGTTTTCTTTGTTATTTCAGTGGCAGTTGGTCAATGCTCAGAACCTGGATCCCGTAACAGTGAGTTGATTTCCTGTTTTACACAAACAAACAAACAAACATCCTTTTATGTATTCAAAATGACCTTGACAGTGCCAGTATAAAAAAGGAATCTTACATTTCCACATTGATTGACCATATTTTTGCTATGTTGCTTTGTGCAGGAAAAAAAAGAAGCATAAACACCAAACCTTTTCATTTTAATTTAATCGTTTATTTGAACCGGGACAGTGCACATTGATGAACACTTTAAAACAAAAATAATGCTTACAAGTGTAAATGAGCCGGATTTTAGCTTTGAGCTAATTTCCATGTAAACATTTATAAAAAAAAACACATACTTTTAAAAGACTTAAAATTGTCAAAACTCAAGAAATTGTGTTTATCAAGGATGGTAGTGGTGGTATGAATATGGCTTTCTGTCAAACACCTTGATAGCTCTCTTGTACAGCTGTTCTATGGGTTTCAGGTTTGTGGCACAAGCAAACGACCAGTTTGTAAAACAGTATTCAATGTGGGATAGAATCATACAGTGGAGGTATGACTTTGCAGCATTGACAGTTAAGAAAGGTCTAATTTGTTTAAAATGTTGCAAGTTGAATTTAACGGTATTGGATACTTTCTTAATATGTTTCTTAAAAGTCAAGTTCAAGTCCAGTATGACTCCAAGATACTTGAAGTGGGAGACTACTTCTATTTCTGCTCCGCTTAAAAACACATTGGATCCTTCGATTTTGACTGGTCGTTTACTGAACATCATGCATTCAGTTTTTTCTGCATTTAACTTAAATTAAAGTAAATGTTGTTCAGCCAGTGTTGAACCTTGTCCAAAGCTTTTGAGAGACAGGATG